CAGGTGTTTTGGACTTCAACTCCCACAATTCCTAACAGCCTACTGGCTGTTAGGAATTGTGGGAGTTGAAGACCAAAACACCTGGAGGGCCGAAGTTTGCCCATGCCTGAGCTAGATTTCGCTTTTGACAGTGAGCAAACAAAATTATAAACCTTTCCTGATGACACAAGAGAACGTTTGCATAAATGAAAAAGAGAATTGAGTGTTTGATTTGATTGGACTTCTAAGATGTTCACCCAAGCATTAAATATATTGCAGATGCAAGTTCATATTGCTCTCAACAGAAGCTCTTCGTACCATGCAAAGCTTGCATGTAAAAGTCAAAGCTCTCTTCTCTAAACACATAGGTCCTCTCTGAATTTGTGGAGAAACAGGCATTTTCAGATTTCCATATGCCAGACTAGTTATTGCTGGAGATGTGGCATTGCGGTCCTATTTGAAATCCTGAAGTCTTAATACTCCATCTGTCAAATGGCCCAAGCAGCCAAGCAGCCAGGAAGGTAGAAGTCTTATGAACTGAACAAACTTAATTAGGAAAAAATATGGAATTGGGTTTTTGTAATTTGAATGACCAACCCCATAAAGTCAATAACATTCAAATTGTTCAATGGCTCCTTAACAAAAGCCACAACAACTTCCTTTCTGGATACATATGCTTTTCTTTGGGAGGTTGCGGACAAATGTTAATTTGGTATCGGCATAATGAAATCAAGTTATTGCCAGGCAGGAATATTGGTGGTTTATATTAGGACACATACAAAATGGCAGAAGTGAGGGCAAATAACAAGATGGGTGAGGAGCAGGAAATACAGACAGAAGGAATGGAGAAGCAAAGAAACAACAAGGAAAAAAAACAGAATTTTGAGAGTCAACTCAAGCATTATTCGCTCAGGGTGAAACGTCACTGGAGAAGTGAAGAGATTGCAGAGATTGATGCAAAAATAAATGAAGACCAAGTGTCAATATATTTATGGTCTTGCAGGGGCGAGAAGCACAAGGAATCACCGGAGAGCATCATGTTTTATTCTCCAGTCTCAATCGTTCAGGGTTTGATCGCATCCTGAATGACCATTCTGAACACACATCATCTAGTCATTCGTTACGAGAATATCAACCTCCTAAAATGCCTAGGAGCAAAACAAGCCTTACTACTTCACAATAGAGAATGAATCCACTTTAAATCTGGTTTCTGCCTCCTGCAGAATGCTAGGGTTTGTAGTTTAGGGAGGAGCCTTTAACAGCCTCACGAAACTACAAAGTCCAAAATTCTGCAAGAGGCAGAAAACAGATTTAAAGTGGATTCATTCTCTAGTGTGATGAAGCCCTTAGCTGGCGATTTACAGGATGCCCACCATTTGATCCTTGCTCTACCCAAACTTAAAAGAGGTTATCAAATAAATGATCAGATCCAAAGAGTTGTAGCACGTCACACCACACATATTTTTTAAAACTCCATTTTAAAGAAGGGGAAAAACTTCCTCCACAGAGAAAATAACAACTGGGAGCAGATTTTTCTCCCAGACATTGTGTCATGTGACACATGTATGTGTCTTTGGCATGAGACAGCATTCAGAAACGTATTTTCTCCATCTCAATTTGATCAAGACATGGTGTAGTCTCTCTCTCATTGTAAAATTCTAGCACTACATGGATAAAAATGGAATTATCTAGTTATGAGACTGGGATGCTCAGTATACATTTGTTCTATTTGTTTGAAGACAATCAACTTCAAACATTTGTTCGTTCATCAAATTTCTACAAGAGCCAGAGAAGAGATTTGGACAATAATTCCCAGAATCCAGTAACACTCATGGATTCTCGGAACTGCAGTCCAAAAAAAGCTTTTCTAAGTTCCAGTCCTGATAATGACCTTGAAAGGAATTGTGGATTGTTTTCTTGACCTCCTCTACAAGGATTTAATCTGACATTTTGTGACTATATCAGAGAAAGATGAGCCTCCAACTCACGTCACGCAATTAGGATGCAGGTTTTCCATGCAAAACATCCACAGGACAGGTCATAGTGGAGCATCTGCAACTACCTGAAGGAACAGAATGGTAAGGAAAATGACAGCCATGGAATAAAACAGGACATGCCTAATTAGGAAGGACAGGAGCGCTGACTTTTGGAGAATATGCACTATTAATTCAACTCTTTGTTCCTTCGAGGACAATATTATTATATCGTCCTATTACATTTAACGCGGAAAAAGAAACACTGGCCAATCAGCCACACATTTGAGGTGAAATTAGACATCCTTAGACAGCTGCAATAGGAAACAAGGACATGAGAACAAGTCAGAACTACCACTGAAAACTATCCAGATAATCAACAAAGTTATGTTTCTTTGCTGTCATTTCTGCAGTACAGAAGAAAAGCAGTACAAAAGGTAAACACAAATATATTCCATCCTCCATCTTATTTTCGCTTTCAGAAATATCTCTATATTTTAGTGATGAAAAAAAACTCCAGTTTTCCTTATATTCCATGCTGAATATAATAAAGTGATGCCTAAGAAAAGGTTTTAAAAAATCGAATCTTCAATGGCTTAAGGTTTGGCTCACCGATGTAATGTTTTCCCCCACATTAGTTATGAGTAACCTTGGTTGGATGTTACTGTGGGATTAAAATAGCCACATTGTTCGAGAAAATATGCTACCGTTTAATTGTACACCCACTTATATCAATAAATGGACTCAGCAATACATATAGAAGCAAAAAGGATGGAGCAATTTGGGCTAAAGGGAAATCCATGCATACGTCTTTCCATGGGCAGAATGTGTCTCTGAATTGCAACAACCGTGTGACAAATCTGAATTTATACATACGACTAGAATGCTTATAAAGTTAGTTATCTAAGTTTTATTACTTGTTAATGCCATTTATTTTCCTTTAGCAATCCTTAGCAAGATGGAAAATGTCTGTTCAATGTGTTGTTGAAGGCTTTTGTGGCTGGAATCACTAGGTTACTGTTGAGTTTTCCGGGATGTATGGCCAAGTTCCAGAAGCATTCTGTCCTGACATTTCACCCACATCTATGGCAGGCATCCTCAGAGGATGGCTGCCATAGATGTGGGCAAAACGTCAGGAGAGAATGCTTCTGGAACATAGCCATACAGTTCGGAAAACTCACAAGAACCAAATGTCTGTCCATCTGACTGGCTTTTCAAAATATTATTTTAGTCATGGAATCAAAACTGTGTCTGTATTTTATGACATACAGCATATAAGTAATACTGCTATCATTTTGTGAATATTGTGGACCAAGTCTGCTTGGTAAAAGAAAAGAAGATTTGGATTCATCGTGATTTTCATGAATTCCCTCAGTTCTCCTATGTAAAGTTCCATATTGTATATTATGATTCATACCTTCTTCAAAGGAAGGAAATAACACTTTTCCATCTCAAAAGAGGAGGAAAGTGCATTTGGAATATTAATACATTTCGGCCTCGAATAGCAAGAAAATAATACTTCTTAAGTTGCAATATATTTTGATATACCTTTAAACACTGTTGTAAGAGCACTGTGTGCAATGCATTTTTCCAGTGGGAAATTACATGCCTTTGCACACATGACAAAACTTACATGCAGGTGTCCTACATCTATGACCCCCCCCCCCCTCTTTATGTCAATGGGAAAAGTCATATAAAGAGAAATGAAAGTGTCTCCGTTGGAGTGAATGGAAAAGCCATACAAAGGATTTCAGAGTATATATAGGAGGTCCTGTGCCATTTGGATGAGAAGGCATACATTATTTTCCCAGTGGTTCTCAACCTTTGGGGCCCCAGATGTTTTGGCCTTCAACTCCCAGAAATCCTAACAGCTGGTCAACTCGCTGGGATTTCTGGGAGTTGTAGGCCAAAACACCTGGGGACCCACAAGCTGAGAACCACTGCTGTAGACACTTGAGATGTTACAACTGTCTAACACACAAACACAACACAAAGACAAGGAGTTGGCAAAAATACAATGGTGCAAAAAGAAATCTGTTAACATTTGGATGACTAGAGCAGTGGTTCTCAACCTGTGGGTCCCCAGATGTTTTGGCCTACAACTCCCAGAAATCCCAGCCAGTTCACCAGCGGTTATGATTTCTGGGAGTTGAAACCCAAAACATCTGGGGACCCACAGGTTGAGAACCACTGGGAAAATAATGTATGCCTTTGCATATGATTTGTATTTTATTGATAGTTTTATTGATGTTTTGTTATTGATGTTTTGTTTATTGATGTATTCTGGGCTTGGCCTCATGTAAGCCACACCGAGTCTCTTGGGGAGATGGGGGCGGGGTACAAATAAAGTTAATTATATTATTATTATGACTAAAAAAAACCAAAAATGCTGCAGAGTCTGCAAGAGCAACTGACTATCTAACCAGCAAAACTGATGCAAGTACGCTGAATACGATTGTCAGATTAGAGGCCATTTTGTAGATTATTGGGCAACGCTGTCCCTGCCGCATAAACTATGGAGAACCTTCTAATGAAGAAAACCAAATGAGCTCCTCCCTCTGTAAAGGCTATTCTATGATTATTTGCAAGTCAGGAGGTAGCTAAGCTACTACAAGAAACATGTCTGGGGAGACGTGACCACCTCAACACTGATGTTAATATCTGAGTGGCAACTGATCAATGTTGTAAATAGATGAGAGTGGCAAAAAAGACAATAGATGCAAGTCAACTTTTGCATTTGGCACCAGTGTGACTAGATATTCATAGTTCTCAAGTATGCTTTCTGTATTAATGTTAACACATGTTCGACATCTCAGAAGTTTGCTACATATTTACAAGGCACCAATCCTTTCCTCTCGTTTAAAATTCTGAATTCTAAAGCATTGGGAAAAGCATTATTGAGTTACCCAAAGAGGAGCGCATTTAAAGTTCAGCACAAATTCATGAAAGTTTGGCCTGGGAAGATTAACATAATCCAGATCCTGCACACAAGAGAGAAACTGTAAACATTTTATAGCTGCCTTTAAGGATTGATGTATTGTGCAAAAGTTATTACGGTAAGTAAGGAATTCATGGCAGAATGATGCAAGAAGGTGCTGTTTCTATAACGCACGCATACACACACACACACTCGAACACACAACGGAATGAGGAAAGACTTCAAAAACATGATTGCGTTGCCACAGTCCTGTGACAAATTCAAGGTGTAGTGTGGGAAAGCATGGCTACAGATAATAAAAATAATGCATGAGTAAGGCTTCTTTGGCCAAGGACGGGCGGCAATCAGAAGTCTTCCTTCCAACACATAAAATGGAAAAGCACCACAGAAAAAAAGGTGAGTGGAGTCCCTCCACCATTTGCTTAAGTAGATTTTCTGGCAAGAATCCCTGCAGAAGAAAGCCGCTGAAGTCCCGACGCCATCGTCCGGTTCCGTCATTTCCCACCGGTCAATAGTTCCATCCCATGAGATGGCTGACCCTGGCCTTTTCTGTCATTTTCCGTACCCTGCCCGATCTGGAGGTGCCAAGGTTCAAGGGATCCTCGGTGTGCACAAAAGTGTCATTGTCTGAATCGTCGTTATACAAAACGGTTCTCCTCCCCTCGTTTCTCGTTTTAATCCGAGGCGGCCTACTGAAGCGGCCGCCAAACGCGTTCTCGCTGAAGCGGCCACCAAAAAGGTTCTCAAATTCGTCGTCCGCCATCCGCGGGCGCTTGGCTCTGGAGGCTCCTCTGGAGGCCCCTCTCCTGCGACCCCTCTTTCCTCCCCGGGTCCCTCTTCTTCCTCGGCTGCGGCCTCTTCCTCCCCGGTTGCCTCGTCCTCCTCTGCTCCATCTGCCCCATCGCCCCCATCGCCCTCTTTTCGCCGTCCCTCTGCCCTGCCAGTTTCTTTGTCCCCTGGAGACGCTCCTTTGGAGTTTTCTTCTCGGTTTCACCTGAACCGATTTGCTGTAGTCGTGATCCCCATCTATGTAGTCCTGGTCTGTCTTAGAGTTTGATTCGGAGTCCGAGTCGGAGGCACATCTACTTTCAGAACTCGAGCTCGACCGCGAATCCCCGCTTTCCGAGGAGGACAAACTGGGCTTTTCTTTGGGCTCTCGCTCCTTCTCCTCATCTGTGTGCTCATCGTCTTCCGATGCACTCAACAGCTTTCGCTTGACTGTTGAGCGAGGCTCTCTCCCGTCGCCATTTGTCAGGGGTTTATCAGGAGGCTGATCTATAGAAATTAAATATATACATATGTTGACACACAGACATGCATATTTGCTGCAGAGCTTGGTTGAAATTTCCTGGAAAAAATAGTTTTTTATCTCAATGTGAACAAACCTGCTTTTAGAAAAGGGATGGAAATATAGCGGGGGATACAGAGCTGTTTTTGCTGCCTGCTGACCTTGTACATTCCATCACCCTTGAAATGCTTTTGAGAGCATTTCTGTCCCTTCAAAGTTTGGGAGTTTGTGGGGCAGGGGGAGGGATCAAACAGTATTTTAATGCAGAAGTTACTGCTGAAGCCCAAAACACTTGCAAAGTAGTGTGAGGCACTACTCTAAGTGGATTGTTCTGTGACCATCACCCCTCACCCCAGGGGTCACAGGGCCTTTGTGATGTTCAAATGTGCCTTTCGAATCTTGGTAAACCTCCTGGATCTTCTCAGTGACATTTTAGTCACATCTTTTTCACGCTGGCCATCAAACACATGGCTCTGCAGTGGCCTTAATCCCACTCTGAAGCACTTCTTGTTGTCCAGTAGTTCTCAACCTGTCGGTCCCAGATGTTTTGGCCTTCAACTCCCAGAAATCCTAACAGCTGGAAAACTCGCTGGGATTTCTGAGAGTTCTAGGCCAAAACACCTGGGGACCCACAGGCTGAGAACCACTGTTGTAGTCCAATATGTGACATGATCTTAAAGATATGTGATACTCAGTTGCTTCTGGAAATCATCATCACGACACTTCTGAATTTTGTTTGTTTTAGAACTTTACTAAGTGGCACAACTGTTACCAATCTTGAAAAAACTTACATTCAAAACAGGGTAATTTTTGCAGCTGTCTTAGAAGGAGTGAATGTGTACATACATACACATTACAGTCCATAGACCCACCAGTGAAAGAACAGCAGTTAATAAATTCTCCCATCTCAGGAGAAATACATTTTCCAAGATTAAAATACATGTTTTCAAGTAATACCCCTATCTGAGGTTAGTTTCTTTATCAACTTGTTGCCACTGCAAGGAATTTTGCCACTATGAGGATCACCCTTATAAATATCTAACAATCCTCTGTGGGGGGTGGTCATGCAGGACACAATTGGATATAAAAGTTGGCTACGTTGCACTGTGTAATAGTGGCACTGCAATAAAATGTGTTCTATTGTTTCTGCTTTATTTCCCTCACAGGGGCATAGTCTTTGGGAGTAAATAATTCCAGACAACCTGCCTCTTAGTAACTCTGAAGGAAATACGTTTAATCTCTTTAGGAAGAGCTTGAAGACCTGGCTGTTCCAGTGTGCCTTTCCAGGATAGGAAACTCCCAGCATCATGTCCCAAATGCACTTTATTAGAGATTTAAGATTGCCTGCACATTGCACCTACCCTAAAATCCTTACATTTCACCTGTCATGGCCAGCACTTTTAATTTTATTCATTACATTTGGCCCGGCCCTTAGTTTTAAATGTGTCATGATGTTATTGTTTAATGTTTTACTGTTATTGCTTTAATGTTTATTGGTTTGCTTTCTGAGTTTTATTGTTGTATTTGTTATGCTGTTGTTTTATTGAGGGCCTTGGCCTTTGTAAGCCGCACTGAGTCCTTCGGGAGATGTTAGCGGGGTACAAATAAAGATCATCATCATCATCTCATCTTTTAGTAAAACAACAAGAGAAAGACCCCTGTTTTCTTTATTTCCTACCTTGTTTAACTGGTGTTGATTTATTTCTGATCGGTCTGTTTTTCCCTGGTTCAGTATCATTTCCACTACGATTCTGGGTATTTGAACCAGATGAGGACGGATGACTTTCCGTCTCTTCAGCAGCAACGGAGCCAGGCAGTTCCTCAGTGGTATCTGAAACTTTAGAGGAGATGTCACCAGATTTCACAAGTAAAGTAATACCTTTTCAGGGAAAATGTGGAAAAAATGGATCTGAAAGTGAGAGCCCTCAGTTACTAAAATGGGGGGGGGGGGAGGTGACATTTCAAATCCTTGTTGAAAAAGTGTCTTAAACAAAGTCCCCTTTCACTGCAAGATTTAGCATTTATTTATTTATTTACTATATTTGTATACCGCTCTTCTCAGCCCTCAGGGCGAATCAGAGCGGTTAACAAAGCAAATACAAAACTTGAACATGATAAAAACAGTTAAAAGAATAACATTATAGCAATCAATAAACATTTAATCATTTAACTTAATTCATTTTATATTTCAATAGTGCCATCAAAGTAACTTCATGCTGTACAAAGATAAAACAAAATCAGACATGACAGTTAAAGGCATTCTAACCCAATATATCTTTAATTCCTAAATAGACCACTTACCGTGAGATGAGACTGAAGAATTAGTCCTAGTTACAGGCAATGAGGTATCAAGGTTTGTTTTAGGCTGCATCTTGAGTTGCTTTTGTTTTCTTTTTGGACTAAATGTACGGGAGACAAAGGAAGAAACTGCTTTCAACAAGCAATAACTTAATTCTCACGTAAAACTGACTTCTTATGGGGAACTTCATTGCAAGCAGCCCCAAAAATGTACTTCTCAAAAGCTAAAGCCTGCTTTGAGTGGTCATCTTGTTCTCTCACCTTTGTGAAGACTGAAGGACAGGCATAACATTCACTCATAAAGCTTACCAACTAAGGTCAGCTGTGCCTTTCAGTGTAGCTCATATGCTTTATAAATACATGTGTGTACATTACGCCTCCTCTTTTCTCTGAAAACACTTTTTCACTAATGTTACTATCCAACATTGCTATTTAGTTACCTGGGCGCTCTGCTACTACAGGAAGAACTGCTGCTGCTCCGGAGTCGTTTTCGGTACCTTAACCGCGGTCTTTGCCTCTTTTGGCACTGAACAGCGAACTTGTAGTCAGAAATTATGGTTTTAATATGGTTTTCAAATAAGGCAGATAGTCGGAGTGTCATGCTGTAGATCTGGGGTGGTAAGGAAGACATACATAATCTATATAAATAAAAATGTAATGTTCGTTTGTGGGATTAACAGAACTCAAAAACCACTGGACAAATTGACACCAAATTTGGACACAAGACACCTAATAACCTAATGCATGCCCTTCACTCAAAAAAATTGCTTCTGTCATTTGGGAGTTGCAGTTGCTGGCATTTATAGTTCACCTACAGTCAAAGAGCATTCTGAACCCCACCAACGATGGAATTGAACCAAACTTGGCACACAGTTCTCCCATGACCAACAGAAAATACTGGAAGGGTTTGGTGGGCAGTCTCCTTTGGTTTTGGAGTTGTAGTTCACCTACATCCAGATAGCACTGTGGACTCAATGATGGATCTGAACCAAACTCTACACCAATACTCAATATGCCCAAATGTGAACACTGGTGGAGTTTGGGGAAAATAGAATATTGACATTTGGGAGTTGTAGTTGATGAGATTTGTAGTTCACCTACAATCACAGAGCATTCTGAACCCCACCGATGATAGAATTGGGCCAAACCCCCATGACCACCAGCGTGGGCCACAGCAATGCGTGGCAGGGGACAGCTAGTCTATATAAATAAAAATGTAATGTTCGTTTGTGGGATTAACATAACTCAAAAACCACTGGACAAATTGCTGCCAAATTTGGCCACAAGACACCTACTAACCCAAGGAGTGATCATCACTAAAAAGATTGATTTTCTCATTTGGGAGTTGTAGTTGCTGGGATTTATACTTAACCTACAATCAAAGAGCATTCTGAACTCCACCAATGATGGAATTGACCCAAACGAGGCACAGAGGACTCCCATGACCAACAGAAAACACTAGAAGGGTTGGTGGGCATTGACCTTGAGTTTGAGAGTTGCAGTTCACCTACATCCAGAGAGCACTGTGGGCTCAAACAATGAAAGATCTGGACCAAACTTGGCCTGAATATTCCATATGCCCAAATATGAACACAGATGGAGTTTGGGGGAAATAGACCTTGACATTTGGGAGGTGTAGTTACTGGGATTATAGTTCACCTGCAATCAAAAGCATTCTGAACCGCACCAATGATAGAATTGGGCCAAACTTCCCAAACATAATCCCCATGACCCACAGAAAATACTTAAGGCCATCCAGTCGAACTCCCTTCACCAGGGCAAGAAAACGTAATCAAAGCCATCCTGACAAAGAGCCATCCAGCCATAAATATAGATCAATATGATTCACACACACAGACACACACACACACACAGTATCATAGATTTGAAAGTGACTCCTAAAGAAGGAGAATGATATGTTGCATGTTCCAGGGTGGGCAAACCAGACACTCTCCCCATCAACACTGACAAAGAAACAGCAAGAAATACTGTTTACCCACAAGCATCAAGACATTACATATATTAGAAACCAACACTTTCTCATTACTTTATTTTCCAGATCACCAGACTGGGCCACGGCAACGCGTGGCAGGGGACGGCTAGTAACTATATCTGAAAATCCATATTTTTAGATCGAAGAAACTTGAGGTCAAATCCTGGCTCTGTTACAAAGTTTGTTAGATGATGAGCAACATCTCAGCCTCTTCATGTTGTTTATTTGTATACAGCATTTATATTCTGCCCTTCTCACTCTGAAATCCCGGTGGCACAATGGGTTAAACCTTTGTGCCGGCAGAACTGCTGACCAACATTAAGAACTTCTTGACTGCAAGTAGAGCTGTTCAACAGTGGAACTCCCTGCCTCATAGTCCAGTGGAACCTCCTCATAGTCCAGTGGAACCTCCTTCTTTTAAACAGAGACAGGTCAGCAGTTCAAATCCAGGGCGAGCAGGTTGAGCTCCCTCTGTCAGCTCCAGCTCCCCACGCAGGAGCATGAGAGATATACAATCCCAATTTCTATATGGATGGTGACAAAGTGACGGTCTCAGTCACTTAGCTACGGCCACAGATCTCGTTGCTTCCCAATAGAATTTCACAGCTCAAGAATGTAGGAGAAGGCAGTCTCAGGCTTGTAACTATTATGGAATATGGCTCTCCCACAAACAGAAATGAGCACTATTCACAACCCAAGTAATGTGCACAATAGGAATCTGTTTCAGGAACATAAGACTATACCCACAGTTTAAAGAAAACCAAGTAAACTACCATTGTTCTGCATCTTACCCTTGATTTTTTATTCGGTGTGTATGCTTTGGAATTGCAGAATATCAAACGGACGTCTTTGTAGAATTCAAGAGGGTTGGTGTAATTACCCGCCTCCAAAGTTTCTTTCACAGTGCTGAAGTCCATTGGAGTGTCGACAATATCCCGATAATCCTGCAAGCAGCCATGAACCAAACTGAAACACACAGATCTCAATAATCCTGCGAGCAATGTTTTATGCATATCAGTCATAAAAACTGAAACTTAATTACATACCATTTTTCAGCCCCTGTTTTTAGGCTTTAAAAGCCCCCCTCAGCTTATGGTCGAGTCAAAGTTATTTATTATTTTACTCTGCTATTATTATTAATTTATTACAATTATTATTTTACTCTATTTATTGTTATTATTACATTTACATTATTTTACTTCTGCCAACCTAGCAGAAAACATCCAAATGTGAGTAGATCAATAGGTACCGCTCCGATGGGAAGGTAACGGTGCTCCATGCAGTCATACTGGCCACATGACTTTGGAGGTGTCTACGGACAACATCGGCTCTTCGGCTTAGAAACTGAGATGAGCACCAACCTCCAAAGTTGGACACGACTGGACTTAATGTCAGGGGAAAACCTTTACCTTTACCTTTTTACTCTATTATTTTTATTACATTATTTTACTTTATTATTATTATTATTATTATTATTATTATTACTATTATTATTTTACTCTATCATTACTGTTATGATTATATTTACATTTTAACTCTATTATTATTATTATTACATTTATTACTTTATTATTATTTGAAATACAAAATGAGTCCACAGCAGACAAGATCACTCTGCTGGCTGTTGTATTGGATCACACGCCAGACACTTCCCAAGTGTCTCTTGGACTGTGTTATGTATCGGCGAATGATGCGTGCAGATCCCAGTAAGGTGGCCTTCTGCAGCTGGCAGATGGTAATTTTGTCAGTGTCGATTGTGTTTAAGTGCAGGCCAAGGTCTTGAGGCAATGCACCCAGTATGCCGCTCACCACTGGGACCACCTTGACTGGCTTGTGCCAGAGTTTTTGCAGTTCAATCTTTAAATCCTCATATCGTGTCAGCTTTTCCAGTTGTTTCCCTTCAATCCTGCTGTCACCTGGGATTGCAACATCGACAATCCATACTTTGTTTTTTAACATGATTACATTTATTACATTTATTACTTATATTATTACATTTATTATTTTGCTCTATTATTATTACTTTTATTATCTTACTCTACTATTATGATTGCATTTATATTATTTTACTATTATTATTACATTAATTATTATACTTTATTATTATTATATCATTTATTATTTTACTCTGTTATTACTGTTATGATTATATTTACATTTTAACTCTATTATTATTACCTTTATTACGTTATTATTATCACATTTATTATTTTGCTCTATTATTATTACTTTTATCTTACTCTATTATTATTATGATTACATTTATATTATTTTACTCTTATTACATTAATTATTATTGTTGTTAAGTTTAATATTATACTCTATTATTACTGTTATTATATTTCCATTATTTTACTCTATTATTACTACTACTACTACTACTACATTTATTATTTTACTGTATGCGTGTCAACTTATACCCACATATATATGATACATAGATGGAAATAGTTTTTTGTGGGGAGAATAGATTTTATTCTCCAAGTAACATTCCAATGTGTCTCAGGAGGAGTAAAAATGTCCCCCAATAATTCCAAGTATCCAGTGTTAGAAGAGACGGGAGTTGGACTAGTTGGCCCTCATACAAATAGTGGTCAGCTTCTATTTGGGACAGCTTGGAGATAGTGGTGAAATGAGCCAAGTTTTGACCATGCAGAAAGCATCCCATACTGCATTTGCAGAAGGTGGCATCAGAAAGCTCCATGGTGTTTTTTTCTTCATCTTCTAAAACTTGCAAAAGTTGTCAGAGATAGAGAGCAAGCATATTTCAAATCCAGGCTGAGGGCAGGGCTGTTTGTTTTTGAAATCCATAATATATAAACACAGCATCCAAAAGTATGTTTCTGTTCTGAACCAAAACATTACAGAACTTACAGGGTAAGAAAAGAGATCAACGGGTTGTCGGAATGGCTCAGAGTCTTCACGTTCGTAGATCAGGCTCAACAGCTGCTTGCACTGTTCCTTCCAGGCATCTACATGGGCTTTGGAGGGCTGCTTTTTCACCTGCCGCTTTACCTGGAGATTTTTAGAAGGAAGGACATGCAAGTTACAGGAAAGGAGATTCCACCTTAACATTAAGTACTTCTTGATCGCAAGGAGAGCAGTTCAACAGTGGAACTCTCTGCCTCAGAGTCCTTCTTTGGAGGCTTTTAAACAGAGGTTGGGTGGCTATCTGTTGGGGGTGTTTTGATTGTGCTTTTTCTAAATGGCAAGGGGTTGAATTAGATGGCCATGGGGTCTCTTCCAACTCTATTATTCTTAAATTTGGATATTTTTAAAAGACGTATTCATCTAAGATGACAACAATGCACGACACGTGAATGATACACTCAAGGAGACAGATATCTCTGATACCAAGCTTCTACAGAGTTCCTATACAATTACAGACTCAGCTGCCACTGTGTATTTAATCTGTCTGCAATGTGCACATGTCATCTGGTTGAATATCTTAACAGTACAAATGAACATAATTCACCGGTGTTTGTCTCTCAGAGCCAGTCTGGGGACCATGACATCTGTACACCTGAAACTTAGAAAACAGACTGAGGGGGCCACAATGTTCATTGCTTTTAAAAAACATATCATTTTAACTAATTGGATTATGTGCCTGCATTTGAAGCCTGCAATCCCAACTTTAATACACAACTTTGCAGGACTATTTCCAGGCACACCCAGATAGATGTGATCGCTGAAATGTTCTTGCTATCCCAGCTCCACTGGCTGCCGATTTGCTACCGGACCCAATTCAAGGTGCTGGTTTTGGCCTACAAAGCCCTAAACGGTTCCGGCCCAAAATACCTTTCCGACCGCATCTTGGCCTACGAGCCCACGAGGACCTTGAGATCGTCTGGGGAGGCCCTGCTCTCGATCCCGCCTGCCTCACAGGCACGTTTGGCGGGGACGAGGGAAAGGGCCTTCTCGGTGGTGGCCCCCCGGCTGTGGAACACTCTCCCTGCACACATCAGACAGGCGCCCTCCCTCATGTCCTTTCGGAAAAGCCTCAAGACATGGCTTTTTGAGAGGGCATTTAATTAATCTAGTGCTAATAATATGGTTATGAGAACTGGAATGGAACTAGGAGTATGAGACCGGCTATGATTCCACTAAGAGGCGAAGCGGATTTTAGTGTAGTCTGTAGTTGTTGTATAGTCTGTATGTTGTGAAACTGACTTTTGTAATTGTCTTTTATGTGTACTGTACACCGCCATGAGTCGCCCGTATGGGCTGAGAATGGCGGTTAATAAGTGCATCTAATAAATAAATAAATAAATAAATAAATAATTCTATGCCTCATTCCCAGAATAATATAGAGAAATAAAAGATAATTTTCTTGATGAGTTGCTATGAGTTTTCCAGCTGTATGTCCAAGTTCCTGAAGCATTCTCTCCTGATGTTTCGCCCACATCTATGGCAGACATCATCAGTTTGTGAGGACTGTTGGAAACTAGGCAATTAAGGTTTATAATATCTGTGGAATATCCAGGGTGGGAATATAAATTATAATTATATATTTATATTACATGCAATATTAGTAATAATATTACAATATAATGGTATAGTACAATGTAGTAATACTTAATACTGATATTGTACTATGCTAATAACATAATATATTTTGTGTGTGTGTGTGTGTGTGTATCTTGTAAGCCGCTCTGAGTCCCCTTCGGCATATAAATGTCATAAATAAATAAATAGATAGATAGATAAAAGGAACTCTTGTCTCCTTGAAGCAAGTGTGAATGTTGCAATTGGCCACCTTGGTTAGCATTGAATGGCCTTGAATGGACCACTCTAACAACTAACATGTCAGACTACACAGAGAAGCCACTGAAATCCACAAGCATGTGGACAATTTCAACAGAAAGGAGGAAACTACAAACATGAACAAAATCTGGCTACCAGTATTTAAAAAAACCCTCTGAAACCAGGAAGGTAAATAAAGAACAACACTCAGAAAACAGGGGAATTCCAGACAGGAAACCATCAGGACCAGCTAACACCTCTCAACAAAGGATTCCCTTGAGGAGGAAGCCAGGCTTTGAGTCTGCAAGGCCATTCAATGCTAATCAAGGTGGCCAATTGCAACATTCATACTTGCCTCCAAATTCTTTCTCCCACCTTTGACATTCCATAGATATATAATCCCCACTTGGCTAGTTTCCAACAAACCTCACAACCTCAGAGGATGCCTGCCACAGATGTGGTTGAAACATCAGGAGAGAATGCTTCTGGAACATGGCCATACAGCCTGGAAAACTCACAAACTTGTTTGATGCTACATGGAAGCGAGATCAGCTGTCTGCACCAGAGCAATAGCAAATCTAAACCACTCTAAGATTGAGTTTTTGGATAAATGACTATGGGGGAGACATGATTAATATTGATAAAATTAGACAATTGAGTTGATGATGCCTTATTAGTATGAGGACTGACAGGGAAGCAGTTTACAAATGTGTATGACTTTGGGAAGGGAGGGATGAGATTTTAAATCCTCATGAATTGCTAAATTAATTATTTAAAAAGGTAAAAATAGGAAGCGGTCTCAAGAATTAGGAAACCTTAGGTTTATTGTCGAAGGCTTTCATGGCTGGAATCACTGGGTTGTTGTAGGTTTTTTGGGCTATATGGCCATATTCTAGAAGCATTATCTCCTGATGTTTTGTCTGCATCTAGGGCAGTGATTCTCAACCTTCCAAATGCTGCAACTCCTTAATACAGTTCCCCATGTTGTGGTGACCCTCAACCATAACATTATTTTCATTGCTACTTCATAATTTTAATTTTGCTACTGTTATGAATTGTAATGTAAATATCTGATATGAAGGAGGTATTTTCATTTACTGGACCAAATTTGGCACAAATATGCGATACGCCCAAAATTGAATAGTGGTAGAGTTGGGTGGGGGATTGATTTTGTCATTTGGGAGTTGTAGTTGCTGGGATTTATAGTTCGCCTACAATCAAAGAGCATTCTGAACTCCACCAATGATGAAATTGAACCAAACCTGGCACACAGAACTCCCATGACTAACAGAAAATACTGGGAGGGTTTGGTGGGCACTGACTTTTGAGTTTTGGAGTTGTAGTTCACCTATTTATTTATTTACTCCATTGATATACCTACATCCAGAGAGCACTGTGGACTCAAATGATGATCTGGACCAAACTTGGCACAGATACTCAATATACCCAAATGTGAGCAGCGGTGGAGTTTGGGGGAAACAGACCTTGTCATTTGGAAATTGTTGTTGTCGGGATTAATAGTTCACCTACAATCAAAGAGCATTCTGAACTCCACGAACAATGGAATTGAACCAAACTTGGCACACAGAAATCCCATGACCAACAGAAAATACTGGGAGAGTTTGGTGGGCACTGACTTTTGAGTTTTGGAGTTGTAGTTCACCTATTTATGTATTTATTTACTCCATTTATATACCTATATCCAGAGAGCACTGTGTGGGGACATGAGAGAAGCCCCCCACAAGGATGATAAAACATCAAAATCATCCGGGCGTCCCCTGGGCAACGTCCTTGCAGATGGCTAATTCTCTCACAACAGGAGCGACTTGCAGTTTCTCAGGTCACTCCTGACACGACCAAAAAAAACAAAAAACTGTGGACTCAAATGATGATCTGGACCAAACTTGGCACAGATACTCAATATGCCCAAATGTGAGCAGTGGTGGAGTTTGGGGGAAATAGGCCTTGACATTTGGAAGTTGTAGTTGCTGGGATTTATAGTTCACCTACAATCAAAGAGCATTCTGAACTCCACCAGCGATAGAATTGGACCAATCTTCCCACACAGAATCCCCATGACCAACAGAAAATACTGTGATGGTCTTTGACCCCTCTAACACCTCCTCACGACTCCCCAAAGGGTCTTGACCCCCAGGTTGAGAAATGCCGATCTAGGGCAAACCTTAGGTTCATCTTTCACAATTCTGTTTTACTCAACACAGACCTATCCCCTTCTGTACCCAGGTCCAATAATATACTACTGGTAGCTCTAATATGGTAAGGGAAGGATAATAGATTGATGATTAATTATTTCATCCATTTTTTAAAAAAAAATCTCTAAGCTTTTTAAAGTGATTTGCATCATCAAAGCCATGGCAATCACTGCACCCACAAAAGGCATCAACAGCCCCAGAAAATTCAATGGATTTGTGGAAGCTGCGACTTGCAATTAAGCCTGATTTCTTGATTCTTCTCAAAAGCCAGCCCTGAATGGTAACTAAGCAGCACTCACCGTTCTCTTCCCAGATGAGGTTCCGGGACCATCTGAATCTGCGTACGCTTCTGCCACCTGAGGGAGAGCATAACAAATACTGCATTATGTGCTCAGGAAGAGCCAATGCCGAAAACTCTTTACAAAATTGTGGATTCGAATAATTTCAAGTAATTACTGGATCTGGTAACTTAAAACCAAGCACAATACATCTGAGGGAAACAAAGCCTCATTTAGTCATTGTCAACCTAGGGTGCTTTAGACAGTTCTCATATTATCTGATCATTAGCCATGCTGGTGGAAATGCATAGGAGTCCACCTTATGCAGAACTCCATGTGCTCACTTTGCTGTTGCAAAAAGGACAGACGGGTTGACACTGGATATGAATGTACAATTTCCATTTTTTAGAAAGGAACATAGTGTGCAACGCAAAAAAGTAATAACGTGCTAGGAACATAGTTTCTTGAGATTCTCAAGTTTTGAAAAGTGTAAACAACAATTTGTCCTCATAGTTTAAAAAAGTAGTCTGAGCACAATAATCGGGTTGTTCACACAAAGACTTTTTTTGATCTTACCTCTTCTTCCTCTGTGCTACTCAGGTCTTCAGCTTTCACTTTGTTATAGATTTCCAAAATATCCATACAGCTCTGATCCCTACAAAGTAAAAGTGTTATCAGCACGAGGGCCAGAGAAATAAATGCTGGGTAGAACGTGAAAACAATATTACTCTTGCCTACTAATATCTGTGTGCTATTGGGACGTCATAGTTCCAGCATTCCCATGCCAGATACAACATCATCTTCCTATCAAATGGAACAGTGAAGTCATGGGGAAAATGCAGCCAGCCTTTCACATCTGCAGGTTACACTTTGTGAATTTCATTAATATGATCTCTCTAGGAATCTCTATGTCCTCCAGCATGAGGAGATGTTGACAAGCTGGAATGTGTCCAGAGGAAGGTGACTCAAATGATCAAAGGTCTGGAGAACAAGCCCTATGAGGAGAGGGTTAAAAAGCTGGGCATGTTTAGCCTGCAGAAGGGAAGGCTGAGAGGAAACGTGATTTATTTATTTTTTGTCATGTCAGGAGTGACTTGAGAAACTGCAAGTTGCTTCTGGTGTGAGAGAATTGGCTGTCTGCAAGGACGTTGCCCAGGGGGCGCCCGGATGTTTTGATGTTTTATCATCCTTGTGGGAAACTTCTCTCATGTCCCCGCATGAGGAGCTGGAGCTGATAGAGGGAGCTCATCCGCGCTCTCCCCGGATTCGAACCTGTGACCTGTCGGTCTTCAGTCCTGCCGGCACAGGAGTTTAACCCACTGCGCCACCGGGGGCTCCTCAGGAAACATGAGGGCAGTGTATCAAGATGTGAGGGGAAGTCATAGGGAGAAGAGTGCAAGCTATTTTTCTGCTGCCCTGGAGACTAGAATGTAATAGAACAATGACTTCAAACTACAGGAAAGGAGATCCCACCTGAACATTAGGAAGAACTTCCTAACTGGGAGAGCTGTTCAGCCTTGGAACTCTCTGTCCAAGAGTGTAGTAGAGGCTTTAAAAAAGAGGCTAGATGGCCATCTGTCAGCGGTGCTTTGAATGGGATTTTCCTGCTTCTTTGCAGGGGGTTGGACTGGATGGTCCACAAGGTCTCTTCCAACTCTATGATTCTATGAATTTTCACCAAAGGTTGACCACAGAATTGTGCAGAGACTCCTGGAAAAAGCAGCTTTAGATCCTGCAACACAACTCTATGGATACCTTCTTACTGGAGGACATGGAGATTCCAAGAGAAGCGGGAGTTTACATTTCCCCCCTATTTTTGCCTGGTTTCTAATCCCAGCAAGTGTGGAGGGCCTATAATATGTTTCTATCACTGGAACTTGACCTGAGCTCTCTTCCAGTCCAGAGCTGATGGGAGAGGAAGCTACCTGTTGGCATAAAACAATACACACAATGCATGCACATCCTTCAAGAAAGCTCTAGGAAAATAATGTTGTCAACAGTTGAATATCAAAAGGAAACAGACCACTTACCCAATGTAGCGCAGTAAGACATCTGTTACAATTTTGGCTGCTTTAACAATAGGACTCTCGGGCTCATTGAAAGTCCTAGCATTGTGTTCGATGTATCGTACCTCCCACATCAGAGCTGATATCCTCCTGGAAAGAAATAAGCAGTAACAGAAAAGATGTTTAATACAATGTTGCAGAATTCAACATGTCATTTGGGAGTTGCAGTTGCTAGGATTTATAGTACACCCACAATCAAAGAGCATTCCGAACTCCACCAATGATGGAATTGAACCAATCTTGGGACACAGAACTCCCATGACCAACAGAAAATACTAGAAGGGTTTGGTGGGCATTTACCTTGAATTTGGGAGTTGTAGTTCACCTACATCCAGATAGCACTTTGGACTCAAACAATGATGGATCTGGACCAAACATGGCACGAATCCTCAATTTGCCCAAATGTGAATACTGGTGGAGTTTGGGGGATAGAGACCCTGACATTTGGGAGTTCTAGTTTCTGGGATTTATAGTTCACCTACCATTAAAGAGCATGCTGAACCCCACCAACGACAGAATTGGGGCAAACTTCCCACACAGAACCACCATACTTAAGGCCATCCAGTCCAACTCCCTTCACCAGGGCAAGAAAGTGTAATCAAAGCCCTCCTGACAAAGAGCCATCCAGCCATAGATATAGATAGATATGATTCACACACACACATATATAGTATCATCGATTTGAAAACGACCCCTAAAGATGGACAATTATATGTCGCATGTTCCAGAGTAAGCAAACCAGACAATCTCCACATCAACACTGACATAGAAACGACAAGGAATACTGTTTACCCACAAGCAGAAATGAATGACATATATTAGAAACCATTACTTTATTTTCCAGATCACCAGGCTGGGCCACAGCAACGATTGACAGGGGATGGCTAGTAACATAATAAAAGTCAAACAAATAGGGCGGGCCAAATGCACAGATAGATTAATAAAACCTTGGATGAGATGGGAGTAGAAAAAGTGTCTTTGGGAGGGAAGAGGGTATCATCATCATCATCATCATCATCATCATCATCATGAGAAATTTAATAACATACAATTTGGTGACATATAATAGAACCTGACCTGTAAAACCTGTTTTCAAGTCTTCTCCTTATGGTGGTGAGGTCAGTTGGATAAGCAACCACGGTGCAATACAGAGGATAGGCACTAAGGTCCACTGGGACAGCAAATGGATTGGACATATCTGAAACAGAAGGCAACAAAACAGGATGCTATGGCAGTGGTAGAATGGCAAAAGTCAGAAGCTTCACTTTAAAAGACCAGGCCTACTATATCCCCATCCCGTATTTAGAAAGATAGATCAGATGTAGAAATAAGCAGTCTCCACAATAATTGGAATTGGTTTGAAATGTTTTTCAAGATTAATATTTATTTATATCTTATTTCTGGACATTATTATGCTTTCTGTGATTTTTGTCTTGTATTTTATATTAAATGTGCTTTGATTTGTATTGTATTATGTTGTAAGCCACCTTAGGGCAGTGTTTCTCAACCTTCCTAATGCCGCAAACCCTTAAGACAGTTCCTCAGGCTGTGATGACCCACAACCATAAAATTATTTTCATTGCTGCTTCATAACTATAATGTTGCTACTATTGTGAATCATAATGTAAATATCTGATATGCAGGATGCATTTTCATTCATTGGACAAAATTTGGCACAAATACCCAATACGCCCAAATTTGAATACTGGTGGGGTTGGGAGGGAAAGTATTGATTTTATCATTTGGGAGTTGTAATTGCTGGGATTTATAGTTCACCTACAATCAAAGAGCATCCTGAACTCTACCAACAATGGAATTGAACCAAACTTGGCACACAGAACTCCCACGATGAACAGAAAATACTGGAAGGGTTTGGTGGGCATTGACCTTGCATTTTGGAGTTGTAGTTCACCTACATCCAGAGAGCACTGTGGACTCAAACAATGATGGATGTGGACCAAACTTGGCACGAATTCTCAATTTGCCCAAATGTGAATACTGGTGGAGTTTAGGGGATATAGACCTTGATATTTGGGAGTTGCAGTTGCTGGGATTTATAGTTCACCAACAATCAAAGAGCATTCTGGACTCCACCTATGATAGAATTGAGCCAAACTTCCCACACAGAACCCCTATGACCAACAGAAAATACTGTGTATTCTGATAATCTTTGGCTCCCCCTCTGACATTCCCTCCTGACCGCCCCCCCCCCCCAGAGGTCCTGACCCCCAGTTTGGGAAACACTACGTTAGGGAGAACAATTAGATATAAATAAAGATGTATTATTATTATTATTATTATTATTATTATTATTATTATTATAAAATTATTATAAAATTAAAAACATGAAACAATGCAACATTAAAAATAATACATAAAATAGCTCTCGCATAATTAGAAATCAAGTAAAATTCAATAAACAAGAAACATTTGAATATAAGCAACCACACATAGATAAAAGCATCCCCAATATCAGTAATTAATCTTGCCTGGATTTTCAGTGCACATTCCACCCACAGACAAGCTCGCTATTGATCTATTAGTTAGTTAATAGATCAATAGAGAGCTTGTCTCTGGATGGAATATCCATAAAATGGGGGCCTGTTCACATTCCACAATTATGGTCCGATGGTTCCACTTAATAACATCTTGTTCAAGCCTAAGATTCACAGTTTAAAAGGCAGGTATGGGCAAACTTTGTCCCTCCAGGTGTTTTGGACTTCAACTCCCACAATTCCTAACAGCCTCAGGCCCCTTCCTTTTCCCCCTCAGCCGCTTAAGCGGCTGAGGGGGAAAAGGAAAGGGCCTGAGGCTGTTAGGAATTGTGGGAGTTGAAGTCCAAAACACCTGGAGGGACAAAGTTTGCCCATGCCTGGTTTAAGGGGTGGCATTTACTATCCTTAGCCAGGGAGCTGTAGTGCTTCAAACTACATAACTTATACAGCAAATGAGTTTAAAGTGCAATCATAGGGTTAGAACTGTGCAGCGTGAAAGCAGCCTTTACTTGTATTTGTGGTCCAGCAGAACAGCACTACTTAAGCTTGAGTCTTGCCATACCTAAAGACAACAGTTGATCAATGCCCCGAAGGACCCGCACACATTCTTCATCTCGGGAATGGGAGCCCCACTCGCCTTCCTGGGGTTTGTACAAGAGGGACGCCAGCTCCTCTGTGGTCACAGGAATGCCGGCCCCAATCTCCTCTGGATAGGCTACTGCGGAGAAGAGAGAGTCCTGTTAGACCCCCCCTCGTGTTACTATGTGGAAATAATGAGCATGGACATGGGATGAGGGGGGAAAAGTGAATCGGAAAGTGTTATTACTTCCTTCTGGAATTGGCTCCATATCCCAGGGGCTCATTTTTTCTCTTTCGTTATTGTCCCAGCTGTTAAAAAAACAAAACAAAGGGGTTTAAATTACTTTACACATACATACATCTAGTACAAGGCTCAGGGGCAAAGTTAACTGTATGGCACAGAGAAAGCCTGAACGTCTTTGGAGTGATTTGTTGTCGAAGGCTTTCATGGCTGAAATCACTGGGTTGTTGTGAGTTTTCCAGACTATATGGCCATGTTCCAGACTGTATGGCCATGTTCCAGAAGCATTCTCTCCTGACGTTTCACCCACATCTATGGGTGGAGTGAGCTCCGGACCAAAATTGTGTAGCTTTTTGTTGACCTTTGCAACCCGAAAGACAGTTGCATCTGTCAAGTAGGAAAATTGGGTACCACTTTGTGGGGAGGCTAAATTAACTGATTTACAATACCATAAAAAATCTCCAGGAAAGTATGCAAGTATGTGAAGAATGAGGAAGTGACAGCTCTTCCGGTGGCCAGAAGCTGGAAAGTTAATAGCCTCTGAGTGTCTGTCTATATGTTGTGTGTCTATGGCATTGAATGTTTGCCATGTATATGTACATTGTAATCCGTCCTGAGTCCCCTTTAAATACTGTAAATAAATAAATAAATAAATAAATACATACATACATACATACATACATAGGCATCCTCAGAGGTTTTGAGGTCTGTTAGAAACTGGGCAAGTGGGATTTATATATCTGTTGAAGGTCCAGAAAGAACTCTTGTCTGCTTGAGGCAAGTGTGAATGTCACAATTAATTACCTTGATTAATATTGCAAAGTTCTGGATCCTTCCAGCCTGGGGAAATCCTTTGTTGGGAGGTGTTTACTGGCCCTGATTGTTTCATGTCTGGAATTTCCCTGTTTTCAGAGTGTTGTTTGTTATTTTCTGTCCTGATTTTAGAGCTTTTAAATACTGGACACCACTCTGAAAACAGATAGATAGGGAATTCCAGACAGGAAACAATTAGGTATATGCTCCACTTACTGAACACTGTAGCACTGGAAGGAACTATCCGGATACTCAGACTGGAACGGCTGCTGACTTTCCACTGTTCCAAACCACCAGGCATCATCTATTATGCTGCGAAATCTATCCCCTGAGACAGAAAAGGTCAGAGTATTGCATGAAGATAATTGCACAAAAGAGAAAAAATAAAATCTCATATTTTCTGCAGAAACATTTAAATAATAGTAATACTAATACTATAATGTTTATTTATATCCCACTTTTTCTCTCCATAAGGAGACTCAAAGCCACTAACATTAAAAGCATTACAATGCAGTATGAAACATCATTAGTATTAAAACAATTCAGTTAAATACAAAAAAACAAAAAAAATATAGAATGCTTGAAAGTGTATTATTTGTGAGCATATATTACTTTGGTTCATTTTTCTCTTGCTAAAACATGCATAGCAATTTCTACAAGTAAACACACTATGCATCTAAAATATATTTGTTATGCAAAAAGGATGCTTCTTACATAGGTAAAAGGAAGCTATTAAGTGGACAATCTACACTTACCGATCTGCCAGTTTCTTTCTTTGGCTTCATTATAAAACTGGTGGAGCACAAGGAAATCAATAACGTCTGGCATATCGTGATACCTGCGAAATAGGAACGAAATCACTCTCAAGAAGGTGACAGTACAGCTTCAATCCCATTTATAGATGGCTTCCATGCCATCTATAAAAGCCACTTCTAATTTCATAGGCCCAGAACTTGTGTATAAATCAACTTTATCTATGAGTAAAGTTCAAGTTATGGGCCAAGATGTTGGATTTTGGTATGATCTGTGAGTAAGTCAGGAGTAGTTTCACGGGGGGAGAAGCAACATTAGCCACTGCTACTCCCAGTGGGACAATGAATTCTATGACCAGCCTGAGGTCAGCCATAGCAGGGCACCTGATGAACCAACTTGGACATAGCATATTATTTGGGAACACAGAAATGCTGGACCACTCTCACAACCACCAGGTCAGACTACACAGAGAAGCCACTGAAATCCACAAGCAAGTGGACAATTTCAACACAAAGGAGGAAACCATGAAAATGAACAAAATCTGGCTACCAGTATTTAAAAAAAACTCTGAAATCAGGACAGTAATTAAAGAGTAACACTCAAAAAAACTGGGGAATTCCAGGCAGGAAACAATCAGAGTCAACTAACACTTCCCAATAAAGGATTCTCCCAGGCAGGAATCAGCTAGGCTTTGAAGCTACAAGACTTTGCAATGATTTTTTTCCATGTCAGGAGCAACTTGAGAAACTGCAAGTCACTTCTGATGTGAGAGAATTAGCTATATTTTATTTATTTATTTGGTTTACTTTTATCCCGCCCTTCTCACCCCGAAGGGGACTCAGGGCGGCTTACACATCCAAGGCACAATTCGATGCCCGTAACATACAACAGCAATAAAACAGAATAGTGCAAATTAGCAATCGACAACAATACATTACCTCTATACCCGCTAAAACCAATAAAACCAATAAAATTTCATACAAACCGATACAAACCAATTACTCCTTATTGCCGGTCAATGTTCGCTATCTCATAGTTCAGAATTTCCTTCCACATTTATCAGTCCTGCCGGTCCTATTTGTCTGGTTGTCCTTCCTAGTTAGCAGATTGCCCGAAGGCCTGGTCCCACAACCATGTCTTTACCTTCCTCCTGAAGGACAGGAGTGATGTTGATGCCCTGATATCCACTGGGAGTGAGTTCCACAGGTGAGGGGCCACCACTGAGAAGGCCCTGCTCCTCGTCCCCACCAGCCTCGCTTGGGAAAGCGGTGGTGTCGAGAGCAGGGCCCCCTCAGATGATCTTAAATTCTGTGGTGGGACATAGAGGGAGATACGTTCGGACAGGATGTTGTCCAGGGGTGCGAATTACAGAGAGCAGTCAACCCTCCTGTTTAAGGAGCTCCAATGGCTGCCATTTATTTTCCGGGCCCAATTCAAAGTGCAGGTTTTGACCTACAAAGCCCTGAACGGTTTGGGACCCACCTACCTGCGCAATCGCATTTCTATCTACGAACGCACACGACCTCTTCGATCTTCTGGAGAGGCCCTTCTCTCGCTCCCGCCTGCATCGCAAGTGCGACTTGTGAGGATGAGAGAGAGGCCTTCTCTGTGGTTGCCCCCTGGCTCTGGAATTCACTCCCCAGAGACATTAGGCAAGCCCCCACACTGGCAATCTTCAGGAGGAACCTGAAAACCTGGTTATTCCCATGTGCCTTCAGTGATTGAATGTAAGATACTCCCTGACCAAACTTTGTATAAAATGACCTCAGAAGCACTTTATTTTATGGTTCGTGCAATTAAATCCTTCCTTATCCCCAGATCCTCCTCCCGATAATTTATATTGTCCTATCTCCCAGTGTTTTTTTAAAAAATTATCATTGACTTCAGCCCTGCCCAGCCTAATCTTCTTTGCTTTAATGTTTGACTTGCTTTTGCTGCTTGCTTATTATATTGGTTTTGCATTTATGTATGTTATTTTCTGGTTTTGTTATGCTTTTGTGTTATATTGTGTTACTGTATTGGCCTCACGTAAGCCACACCGAGTCCCCCTGGGAGAGATGGAGCAGGGTATAAACAAAGTATTATTATTACTATTATTATTATTATTATTATTATTATGTCCCCGCATGAGAGCTGGAGCTGACAGAGGGAGCTCATCCACGATCTCCCCGGATTCAAAACTCTTCAGCCCTGCCCACACAAGGCTTATGCTCCCTCTCACCATCTTCCCAAAAACATTTCCCAGTAGCCATAACCTCACCATCCTCTGTTCAATTTCAAGTGGCTGCTACAGAAAAATGCAAAATATCACACTCTGTCTTGTTATATGCTATTAGGGAGAGTGTTTTTTTAAGAAGCAAGGGAAGAATGCAAGCCAGTAGTGGCCAGACGTCATAACAGCCTCGCAGGCCTTTTAGTCATCCACTTACTTGATGGAAAATGATTCCCCCGTCATTTTTCCTGTGATTGGATCCAGAAAGGCAAGCTTCAGGCAGCAAAGCGTAGGCGGTCCAACCTCATACTTAATTCCCACAATCTTCACAAATTCTTGTTCCTATTTGTCAGACAGCAACTGAGGTCAACACTTTAGGGTTGTGACTTTTCAAAACATGAAGCACATACAAAAGCGAGGTGCATTAGAACGGATGCTCCTTTTGTGAATGGAGTACAAATACAATATATCTGCAAGTAACCTCTCACTTCCCCTTTTCTCACCAACAGAACAGGACAGAACTTTCTGAACATTTCATATTAGTGACACACTTTTAAAACATGCCTCATTTCATGACACAGTCATTTGATTTTACTGGCAAACTGGAGGTTAAGTCATCCTTTTATAAGAAAGGTGGACACCTACATAAATCGTAATGATGATATCTATGGGACCACATCATTTCTCATGAAAATTTTTCATTTATATTTTTTAAAATATAGGATTTGTAAGATAACAAGAAGCCTCTTGGTTTTTGGGGACAGCTATGTGAATGGCCCGTGCTTTGAAAAATGAGAAAACTTGTGCCCAATAATTTGCATAATACTGAACTAAATGGAACAACAGCTGGACGTGGGAGTAAGACAAACTCCTGGCATGACTGGCAATAAAATAATAAAGTTCTGCTTACCCTGAGTTCCATTTTATTCCATGGTTGCTTCTGAATGTTAACACTGTAATTTTTTGCTTTTCTGACGGCACGCACGTAAGCTTCATGCCCTTGTCTGAAATAGATCACCTAAGAGAGGGAGGGATAGAGGGAGAGAGGGAAGGAAGGAAAACAAAAAAGAAAGACAATGCTATCATACACAAGATTTGGCTTCAGGAACATTTGAATTGTCAGATCCTGAAAATAAATGCCCTAAAGTTTTTAATTTATTGAATTTAAAAAGTCTTCACTTGCTAGGTTGAGAATATGTCTCATTTATATTATTATTGGGTTGCTGTGAGTTTTCCAGGCTGTCTGGCCATGTTCCAGAAGCATTCTCTCCTGATGTTTCACCTGCATCTATGGCAGGCATCCTCAGAGGTTGTGAGGTCTGTTGGAAACTGGGCAAGTGAGGTTTATATATCTGTGGGTGGGAGAAAGAACTCTTGCCTGCTTGAGGCAAGTGTGAATGTTGTAATTGGTCACCCTGATTAGCCTATGCCGTGATACATTGCTGTCCACCTTACTAAACAACTTATCCTTTAACTAGTTCATGTAGTGGTCTTTCCTCCCCCTCCTCCAAAATTAGTCTGCTGTTATTGTTGTTGCTATCTATTATTGTTATGTTGTTTTACACTGTTCTATGCTGTTTTAATTGTTTTTGCTTTGTTTTTAATTGTATTTTGTCTTGGGCTTGGGCCCCATGTAAGCCGCCCCGAGTCCCTTCGGGGAGATGGAGGCGGGGTAGAAAAATAAAGTTCTTCTTCTTCTTCGAAGTCTTGCAACTTCAAAGACTGGCTGATTGCTGCCTGGGGGAATCCTTTGTTGGCAAGTGTTAGCTGGCCTTGATCGCTTCTTTTCTGGAATTCCCTTGTCTTTGAATGTTGTTCTTTATTTACTGTCCTGATTTTAGAGTTATTAACACACTAGTAGCCAGATTTCTGTTGAAATTGTCCACATGCTTGTGGATTTTAATGGCTTCTCTGTGTATCCTGACATGGTGGTTGTTAGAGTGATCCAGCATTTCTATGTTCTCAGATAATATTCCATGTCTATGTTGGTTCCTCAGGTGCTCTGCTATGGATGACTTCTCTGGTTGAATTAGTGTGCAGTGCCTTCCATGTTCCTTGATTTGGGTTTGGGCAATACTGCTGTGTTTGGTGCTCTCTATGTAGACTTGTCCACAGCTGCATGGTAAACCCTGGCCATTCCACAGACATAGATAAACCCCACTTGTAATCAAAATAACAATAAAATATTAAAATAGACTTCACATCTCCCATCTCAAAGATACAAAGTGAAAAATATTATAATCCCATTAACCTATAATTTTAGACAGTTTCTTAATTCTACCTTATTATATTTTTTTTCAATCTTCAATGCCCGTCAACATTTTAACATTTCCCCTTTTCCTTATGAATAATATAAATGGATCCCATTCTGGTTTTATAAAGCAAGGCTATAGAACTTTTTCCTTAAGTATCTTATGCAAGGACATCAATGAAGAGGTACCTCATCACCCATTTGTGGGACAAAGGGGGAACGCCGTGGGATCGTGTCCAGTATCCAGTGGGGAGCAAACCATTCTTCCGTGGGTTCACCATCAGTTGAAAGGAATCCACTGGGTTTCTTCAAACAGAAAAGTATCAGACGATAAATAAAATGGAGCAAATACAGAACAAAAAAGTTGATCAACAACAAGATAATTTTTTATACTCACTTTTTTCCGAGCTTGTTTGGGTTTCTTGCGTTTCTCTTCTGGTCCCTTTGTCTCTTTTTCATTTTCATCTTCAGAGCTGCTACAGATTTTGCGAGCTGCTTGTCTCGTTTGCCTTTTTGGAGGCTGAAGATTAATCCCAGCATCTGCAGTCCAGTCAGAATATTCACTGGACGAATCACTGAAAGCAACACAAAATATTGAGAGAAGTAGTCATTGGTTGGGACTGTTTTGAGTCCAAAACAGTTTGGTGTACTGCTCCGTCTGGCATAAATCCGCCAACGTGAAGAAGGTAATTAAAGCACTAAATGAGACATGTAGAATAATCCCTGAACAGACCCAGAAGCGGAGTTGGCAGACCAAAAGACAACCTGGTAAAATGTCATTACCTAGATCAGTGGTTCTCAACCTGTGGGTGCCCAGATGTTTTGGCCTTCAACTCCCAGAAATCTTAACAGCTGGTAAACTGGCTGAGATTTCTGGGAGTTGCAGGCCAAAACATTCGGGGACCTACAGGTTGAGAATCACTGACCTAGAAGAATCCTCCACCATGTGTGACTGTGGAGCAGAACAAACAACTCCGCATCTGTATGCTTGCCCACAATGCCCTGCCTCCTGCATAGAGGAAGAATTGTTTAAAGCTACAGGCAATGCAGTCACTGTTGCCTGTTTTTAGTCTGAAACTATCTAGAAGCTTGTGATCCCTTTACTTTATCAGTTTTAGAAATATCTAATTATCCAATGCTTTTGACCCTAAATAAATAAAACTGTTCTAAGGGGTTTCACAGAAAGTATTCAAAGTGCTGAATCTATCCCCAAAAGACATTAAGTACTGTGGCTATCTCTCGTAAAGTCCACCATGAATTCACTATCCTAAAGCAAAAGAGTAACTATTGATCTCTGACCTTGTAAATGTGTTAATGGAAGTACACATGGGAATATCTGTCAAAGTTGACAGTGGTAAATGGACCAGTTTTTGGCAAACTCTTCATTATTTCCTCCCTGATTACCATTCGATAACTTGGCCATTTGACTATCTATATAAATAAAAATGTAATGTTTGTTTGTGGGATTAACATAACTCAAAAACCGCTGCATGAATTGACATGAAACTTGGACACAATACACCTCTCAGGCCAACAAGTGACCATCACTCATAAAAACACTGAAAAACACAGTGGAAGGGACTTTAAAGGCCAAAAAAGCAAAAAGACCCTACAGTGCATGCACAAAAACAACTCCCCCTGGCAAACAAAATACACAATAACATATACACACTCTCTTCTGGACTACATCTCCCAGCATCCCCTAGACCAGGCCCTTTAGGAGAGGAGGATGACTCAAATGCACTGCTTCCAAGTTGCAAGCTTTCTTCTCCTTGGATTTCTTTGAGAGCATCCCAATCCCTGAATATTTCCAATTTCATATTCCTGGACTGCAACTGCCAGCAATTCCCTAGATAGATAGATTAGGTGTAGATAGATAGATGGATCAGGAGGACTGCTGGGAGTTGCAGTCCAAGAAGAGGTAGAGAAGAAAGAAATGGGAGAAAGAGGAAGGGGGAAAAGGGTGGGCGAAGGAAGGGAGGAGAAGGAAGGAAGAAGAGAAAGAAAGATAAAAGGGAAGGAAGGAGAGAAAGAAGAGAAATAAGGAGGGGAGGTTGGCCACAGCAACGTGTGGCGGGCACAGCTAGTAGTCTAATACCTTTTCTCTCCCAAGACCCTAGACACCCACAGTGATCACTTTTTGTGGCATCCAGAAGTGACTCTTTGGACAGGATATGGAATCATTTTATTCCACTCCATTCTGATACCATTTTATACCCTTTCATTACATTACCCCAAATTTGGTGGGGATGCTGGATTTACTAGTGTGGTCAAGGGCCACATTAGAGCTCCCAAAGAAGCAAATGTTAACACTTGGCTGCACTATTTTTTCCTGTTGTCATGCATACATTCTTTCCAATGATAAAATCCAGTTACTGAAACACTGTCCCTAAAGAGATCACAGAGATATTACCTGGAACTGCTTTCGCTTTGCCAGGCAGCCACATTATCGTCCACAGATGCCTCACTAGTGCCAGCAGTATCATCTTCCTGAAAAGAGAAGATGTGTCCATCATCACCTCTACAATTAACATAAAGAAGGCCTTTTCTTTTGTGCTGCACACCTTCTCCAAATGTTGCACTCCAGACCGGGCAACATGTCTGTACTTAACTACCACACTCCAGTCTGAGTTACATCAGCAACGATGTTTATTGAAAATTATATAAAAGAACTTCAGCAAAATAGTAAAAACTGTTACAGTAAGTCGTAGCAGGATCAAGTGTATGTTAAAGAAAAACCTTATGATGTCAATTATTATGTGCAGCTGGTAATGTAGGTCAGCCAGCATATTTGGGCCACACCCGGTGGGGTATAACTGTATGGATTTTAGAATACAGTTTGGAGAAGCAATACGCTACTCTGAGGAAGAGAAGCAATATGCTGTAATGCTGCAATGCTCTAACAGCGATGCTCTTTGCTTTGATGGAATAGCTATTTACTCAAGGTTTATGTTTTGCTCTCTCATTTGAATGAAGATGAAGAAGCCTTATTCTGTGTTATTTACAAGGACTATGTAAGTTTGTTGCACTGTTTGATTTTGTATACAACACTACAAGTTTATGCCTCTGCTGATAAGAGTAAAGTTTTTCTGTTCCTTTTTCCTCTTGACAGTATGTATTTTGGATGGAACTTGGCTAAAACTTCAAAGTCTATACATTTAAAATAGTCCACAAGGTTCAAGGTACAAGAGTAATCCAGAATCTCAAAGCATCAGAACGACAAGGAACAGGAAGCACAAAGCAGCATAAAATCCAATACAAAAATCCAGGAATAATCCTTAAAATTTGGGTGCATGAAACATGAATAAAGGCATGAAAATAGAATCCCACTGACCAAGACTTGGCAAAAGTTGTTGTCTCAATTACCAACCAGACTGGCTGGGAAATGCTCCCGGCCTCTCTAATATACAAATGAAGTCATGCCTTCTCACATGATTTTCTGATACAGGCTTCTTCTGTAACAGGCGCTGTGACCTTCGGAGATTCTGCTGAGCAGCCCAAAGTTTATGAAAACGAAGTCTCCTATCAACCAGCTCATTATCTTGCAGCTCATTATTCTCTGCACCTGAGATTTCAAAAGCTTATGCAACCAACTTCTTTCAACCTTATAGATGCTATAAGATGCTTCTGCACAACGATTAATGTGAGCAAACCTCGTCAGCAATAATTAAACACCCACTCAAAGATGCCCAATTTCCCATCATATGCATATCATGATCCATGGAACATATGGTAATGGGTCTTAAACAAAGAATGCCTTGACTCTTGGTTGTAAAATACCTAACATAGATACATCATAATCAAATATGGCAATTCAAATGTCTGGAAGACAAAAGAAGGATGCAAGTCTGATGGCAAACCTCAGAGGAGCTTTCAGAGTCTTCTTGGGTATGTGAACTTCTCCTTGCACCTTGGGATTGATGATCAATGGTGGAGCGTGTCTGATAAGCATGTTGGCGCTTGCGTTGGTTTCTTCGCAATGACCTCCCACTGCCAGGTGGGTAGTCACTCTTTCACAATACCAGGGAAGAAAAAGATTTTAGAGAGTAAGCCACAGTTTCATATATTTTAAGATCAAACAAATCTATGGGTTACTGTAGATCAAAGATGTCAAACTTGTGGCCCTCCAGATGTTTCAGGCTCCAACTCCCAGCTCTAGTCAGCTTGTCCAATGATCGGGAATTCTGGGAGTCGAAATCCAAAATACCTGGAGGGCTATAGGTTTAACACCACTGATATAGATTATGCCTTAGGGCAGTGTTTCTCAACCTGGGGGTTGAGACCCCTGGAGAAGTCGCCATGGGACATCAGAGGGGTCACCAAAAACCACCAGAAAACACAGTATTTTCTGTTGGTCATGGGGGTTCTATGTGGGAAGTTTGGCCCAATTCTGTTGTTGGTGGGGTTCAGAATCCTCTTTGATTGTAGGTGAACTAGAAATCCAAGTAACTACAACTCCTAAATGTCAAAGTGTATTTTCCCCAAACTCCATCTGTGTTCATATTTCAGCATATGGAATATTTGTGTCAAGTTTGGTCCAGATCCATCATTGTTTGAGTCCACAGTGTTCCCTGGATGTAGGTGAACTACAACTCCAAATCTCAAAGTCAGTGCCCACCAAACCCTTCCAGTATTTTCTGTTGGTCATGGGAGTTCTATGTGCCAAGCTTGGTTCAGTTTCATTTTTGCTGGGAGTTCGGAATGCTCTTTGATTGTATGAACTATAAATCCCAGCAATTACAACTCCCAAATGACAAAATCAATCCCTCCCCAACCGCACCAGTATTCAAATTTGGACATATCGGGTATTTGTGCCAAATTTTATCCAGTGAATGAAAATACATCCTGCCTATCGGATATTTAAATTGCCTTTCATGACAGTAGAAAAATGATAGTTATGAAGTAGCAATGAAAATAATTCTATGGTTGGGGGTCACCACAACATGAGGAACTGTATTAAGGAGTCACGGCATTAGGAAGGTTGAGAAGCACTGCCTTAGGGTCTGATCACAAGTTTACAGATCTGCTACTCAGGCTCACCTGCTTCCCTTCCCTCTCCTGAAATGACAACAAGGAGGAGAAAAGGAGCAATTCAGTTCTGATTTTAAGCTAATCAACCTTTCTTGTTATGTCAGATTTTGGTTTATTCTGAGAATGAACAATGATTGTAAGCCACAGTTTGATACGGACTGAATGAACAATTCAAGGTTGAAACTAACCAGAGTCCCCGTGAGTTGACATGCAAAGAGGAACTCAAGGCAGTCTAAAAGAGAAGATCAGTGCTGCGGGTCTCATCCATACGCTAAGATCCCACTCTTCCTCATGACTAAGTAGCTCTGTTTGTGGAACACAACCCACTCCTGCAAATATTACTCACCCTTTGCAAAGTGTGGGAAGGTTTTCTCTTCTTTTCAAGTGTATACAGATGGATTTCTAGTTCGCCTTTGGCTGTTCGGCATTCTTCCTGAACTCTTGCAGAGAAAGAATAGACTGGTTACTGTCTAAAACTTTACAAAGGTCCTTCCTAGGCTTCTGTCATGCTTAGTTCTAAATCTGTGTTTGGGAGATTGGCTGGGAATATTACCCTTTTAACTCAGCCAAGCTGTCTGCTTCTAGAATAGTTTGACTTAGCATTCAATCTTGAAACAGATCACACACCAAAGAAAACTAGAATACCTACCTGCTAATTCCTGGATGCAACTCATTCACGACCACTCTCCGACTCCATGCCATGAGGTCTCTTTCTGTGGCCATCTGACTTCTGGGAGCATTGTGGTGCATTTGCCGAACACCTTCGATCTGGCCACTCCGCCTAAGCCCAACATTTGGAGGGGAAGCAATATCCAAACTTGGGCTTCTTAAAACTACTAAAAGCAAACACAAAAAAAGGCCAGGACCATTTATTACATTACAGGCAGTGCCTGAGTAATTGCAATGAGTAATTCCAATGATCGTTTGGATTAGTCCATCATATTCTGGCAATGTGCTGTTACCTGTATCTCATTTTTCATGATATAGGCAGTCCTTGAGTTGCAAACATCCGCCTTACAAATGACTCATAGTTAAGAACTGAGCTAAGACAACAGAAAGTGAGAGAAATCTACTCTTGGAAGGGAAATTAACTCCTGGAATAGTTATTATCATGGTGGAAAAGGGTTTCCACTGAAGCTTTGTCCTTGTTTCCACAAAATCATATTATCACAGGGACAGAAAGCGAGGTTCCTTTGAGACAGCGAAGGAAATATCACAGGGTGCTATGCTAGCTAAAGCTAACATAGCTGGAATTATACTTCAAAAATGTACCCATTCTGATTTACTGTATACACTCGAGTATAAGCCAAATTTTTCAGCCCTCTTTTTAGGCTGAAAAAGCCCCCCAAGGCTATACTTGAGTCAAAGTTATTTAATATTTTATTCTGTTATTATTAATTTTTATTACATTTATTTTCACTCTATTTATTATTATTATTACATTTATGATTTTACTCTATTATATTTATTACATTTATTATTTTACATAAGCACATTTATATTGAAGAAGGTTAGAATACTTAATCAGAGTTGGGCAGTCTCTTAAATTACAGTATTATGTAAATATTCAAAAACATTTAACCTACTGATGCCTCAATTAACATAATTTTATTCAGTTCTTGTGGGTTTTTTTCGGGCTATATGGCCATGTTCTAGAGGCATTTCTCCTGACGTTTCGCCTGCATCTATGGCAAGCTTCCTCAGAGGTGAGGTCTGCTGGAGCTGGGAAAAAAGGGGGTTTATATATCTGTGGAATGACCAGGGTGAGACAAAAGGCTTTTGTAAGTGGGCTAGGTGTGAATCTTTTCAACTGACCACCTTGATTAGCATACAATGGGCTGACTGTGCCTGGAGCAAACTCTTCTTGAAAGGTGATTAAATGTCCCTGCCTGTTTTTCTCTCTGCTGTTTTAATTTTAGAATTTTTTAATACTGGTAGCCAGATTTTGTTCATTTTCATGGTTTCTTCCTTTCTGTTGAAATTGTCCACATGCTTGTGGATTTCAATGGCTTCTCTGTATAGTCTGACATGGTGGTTGTGAGAGTGGTCCAGCATTTCTGTGTTCTCAAATAAAATGCTGTGTCCAGGTTGGTTCATCAGGTGCTCTGCTATGGCTGACGTCTCTGGTTGAAGTAGTCTGCAGTGCCTTTCATGTTCCTTGATTCGTGTTTGGTGCTGCGTTTGGTGGTCCCTATGTAGACTTGTCCACAGCTGCATGATATACGGTAGACTCCTGAAGAGGTAAGGAGATCCCTCTTGTCCTTTGTTGAATGTAGCATCTGTTGAATTTTCCTAGTGGGTCTGTAGATAGTTTGTATGTTGTGTTTCCTCATCAGCTTCCCTATGCGGTCAGTGGTTCCCTTGATGTATGGCAAGAACACTTTTCCTCTGGGTGGATCTTTGTCTTTACTCTTGTGGCTTGTTCTTGGTCTTGCAGCTCTTCTGATGTCTGAGGTGGAGTATCCATTGGCCTGTAGAGCCCAGTTGAGGTGGTTCAGTTCATCTTGGAGGAGGTGGGGTTCACAGATTCTTTTTGCACGGTCTGCCAAGGCTTTGATGGTGCTTCTTTTTTGACTTGGGTGATGGTTGGAGTTTTTATGTAGATATCTATCTGTGTGTGTGGGTTTTCTGTAAACGGTGTGACCCAATTGTTGATCTGGTTTGCGGATGACTAGGACATCTAGAAAAGGCAATCTTCCTTCCTTTTCTTTTTCCATAGTGAACTGGATGTTAGGGTGGATGCTGTTAAGATGTTCCAGGAACCTGTTGAGTTCTTCATCTCCATGGCTCCAAATGGTGAAAGTGTCATCCACATATCTGAACCATATAGTGGGCTTTTTGGTTGCTGTTTCAAGAGCTTGTTTTTTAAATTGTTCCATGTAGAAGTTAGCTATGACTGGTCCAAGATGAACTGAACCACCTCAACTGGGCTCTCCAGGCCAATGGAGACTCCACCTCAGACCTCAGAAGAGCTGCAAGACCAAGAACAAGCCACGAGAGTAAAGAAGAAGATCCACCCAGAGGAAAATGTTCCTGCCATACATCAAGGGAACCACTGACCGCATAGGGAAGCTGATGAGGAAACACAGCATACAAACTATCTACAGACCCACCAAGAAAATCCAACAAATGCTACGTTCAGCAAAGGACAAGAGGGATCCTCTCACCTCTGCAGGAGTCTACTGTATACCATGTGGCTGTGGACAATTCTACATAGGGACCACCAAACGCAGCATTGGCCAAACACAAATCAAGGAACATGAAAGGCACTGCCGACTACTTCAACCAGAGAAGTCAACCATAGCAGAGCACCTGATGAACCAACCTGGACACAGCATTTTATTTGAGAACACAGAAATGCTGGACCACTCTCACAACCACCATGTCAGACTACACAGAGAAGCCATTGAAATACACAAGCATGTGGACAATTTCAACAGAAAGGAGGAAACCATGAAAATGAACAATATCTGGCTACCAGTATTAAAAATTCTAAAATTACAACAGAGAAAAACAGGCAAGGACATCTAATCACCTTTCAAGAAGAGTTTGCTCCAGGCACTGTCAGCCCATTGTATGCTAATCAAGGTGGTCAGTTGAAAGATTCACACCTAGCCCAACTTACAAAAGCCTTTTGTCTCCCCCTGGTCATTCCACAGATATATAAACCCCTTTTTTCCCAGCTCCAGCAGACCTCTGAGGAAGCTTGCCATAGATGCAGGCGAAACGTCAGGAGAAATGCCTCTAGAACATGGCCATATAGCCCGAAAAAACCCACAAGAACTGAGTGATTCCGGCCATGAAAGCCTTCGACAATAATTTTATTGGTATCTATTTTTATTTTAAACTTTACTTGTAGCTGCTGCATTTCCCACCCTCGGCTTATACTTGCGTCAATACGTTTTCCCAATATTTTTTGTGGTAAAATTAGGTGCCTTGGTTTATATTCGGGTCAGCTTATACTCGAGTATATATGGTACATACAAAATCAACCTAAGAACAAAACTGGAAAACATATCATGTTTGTAACTTGAGAACTGCCTGTAGTGGTGCCAAAATAATATTCTCAAAATCTATGAAGGATGAGAGGAGACAATACTTACTATTAACAGACTGCAATCTGCTTTGTGGAGGATTTGGTACAGTTTCACCATCATTAAGCCTCCTCCTATCTTGCTCACGTTGCAGCTCCCTAATCCTCCCGTCAAGGATGCTCTCTTCATGGTCATTGGTTTGCTGCCCAATCACTTGTTCCACAACCTCACCATCCCCTTTGTGGAATAAAAAACACAGAGTAAGCCACCTGAGATGGACCTGGTGCAGCAGTTTCCAAAAGAAATAGCATGGAGAGCCTTAATCTAGGACTAAGACTTCGGCAGGTGCAAAAGGAGCTTTGAAAGGGGCACCAAGAACTTATTCAACAGTAGTAGTAGTAGTAATAATAATAATAATAATAATAATAATAATAATAATAATAATAGTAATAATAATAAACTTATTTATGTTCTGCTTTATCTTCCTGGAGGGACTCAGAGCAGATTACAGTATACAGATATAAGGCAAACATTCAATGCCTTTTACATAGTGTACAACAACAACATACAATACACAGACAAACGTAAAGGCCTTCCCCTTTCATCTCTGGCATCTGGAGGCGATACTCATCTCCAGCCATGGGAAGGTGCTGTTCTTCCATTTTTCCATGCCAAGGAGCCTGTTGTCCATAGATATCTCTGTTCATTTTTGCCAGCATGTCTGCATGGGGTGCACTTTTACCTTCCTGCCGAGGCAGTACCTACTGATCTAGTCGCATTGCATGCTTTCAAACTGCTAAGTAGGCAGAAGCTAGGGCTAACAATGGGAGCTCTCCCCAACTCATGGCTTAGAACTGCCAAACCTTCGATCAGCAGATTTCCTGCAGCTAGCGGTTTAACCCACTGTGCTAACGCAGCCTGAAGACGCTTTTCAAGAGGACTCAAAATAAAGGAAATAAGGATTGTGTACGACAGCAATCTGCATCCTCCTAGCTGCTATGTCCTCCAATAGAATTCCATGGTAAATTCCAAGTGATGTATAACATAGAATCACCTGAATAAAATAGCCAATTCCAAGATATATATTTTTCCCTAGATGCAGGTAAGTGAAACGATCGACATGGATTCTACAGTTATAGGCAGCTTACTGTACTGTGTGGAATGATATGCAGCAATGGCTTGCTCTTTGTAATACAGAGATTTATGACTATTTTCACCTTGCCTTAACATGGAAAAGCAATATAATCCAATTATATAACATATTGTATAAACATATAATATTTATCATATAATAATGTAATACAATATAATACTACTACTAATAATACAATATTATGATTATATATTTTAAATTATATGTAATATTACTAATAATATTACAACATGATGGTATAGGATAATATAGTAATAGATAATACTGATAATGTACTATGGTAATAATATAATATATTGTCTGTATATATATCTTGTAAGCCGCTCTGAGTCCCCTTCAGGGTGAGAAGTTCAGCATATAAATGTCATAAATAAATAAATCTATATAAATAAAAATGTAATGTTTGTTTGTGGGATTAACATAACTCAAAAACCACTGGACGAATTGACACCAAATTTGGACACAATACACCTATCAGGCCAATAAGTGACCATCACTCATAAAAACACCAAAAAACACAGTGGAAGAGACTTTAAAAGCCCAAAAACCCAAAAATACCTTGCAACTCATGTGCAAAACCACATATATACACAAATATATACACACACATATATGCATATGTACACACACAAAACACATATACACAGACTGGGCCACAGCAACACATGGCAGAGGACGGCTAGTAAATAATAAATTATCTCTTGTAGGACTTGACCATTTCAGCTCAGGCCACTCACTAATGCTTCTCACTGTAGAAAAACCTGTTACTTCATACAATAACCAGATCTGGATGAGCAAGGCTTGTCTTGAGTCATTTTGTTGTTCTTTTGTAAGTGGATTTATTACTGAAAGCATTGCTACACTTCTAAGAAACCACCTCAGTTACCAAGACATTAATGCAAGCTTTCCATCCTTTAAAAAATCTCTACAGTATTTCTAATTAATCTATCCAATATAATACAAAATGATGTCTTTGCAAATGGAAAATCTAAACTAAACATTTGCAAGGAGGTTTGTAAAAAGTGATGCCCAACACCCCCCTTTGGCATGCAATTCAATACAGCTCTTTTAGAGAATACACACCATTTGCCACATATCCCAGTTGAGGAATGAGTTGTTCGTCTTTACAGTTTTCCCGCCCCGGCACCAGCCGTTGGTATCTTGTGGGGTGAGGATTGCCATCCACATCTACCAAGAAGGGGGGAGGCATGAGATGTGGAGCCTGCTGGGTTTGTTCATCTAGCACATAGTTATTAGAATCGCGGATGAGGGGACGGTAATCTGTGTGGAAGAACATCTGATCTGGAATCTACATGAGACACAAACTTGGAAATCAGTACAAACGTTGGGACATTTCTTACTGCTCTTTAAACTACACAGTCTACAAAAAGAAAGATTAATTACATTGTTTTGGGTTTTGTTCTGCAAAGAAATAATCTGAGAGATGAGAAGTTTCACCTTTATCTTTGTCAGTAATGCTGGAGAAGCAAGTTAAAGTACATCTGAATATATTTTCTACAAGAACACACAATGTGATCACTTTCTGATATGACTTTTACTACTATTATTTTTATTATTCTTATTATTCTTATTATTGGGTTGCTGTGAGTTTTCCGAGCTGTTTTGGCCATGTTCCAGAAGGGTTCTCTCATGACATTTCACCCACATCTATAGCAGGCATCCTCAGAGGTTGTGAGGTCTGTTACAAACTAGACAAGTGTGGTTTATATATCTGTGGCATGTGCAGGGTGGGAGAAAGAACTCTTGTCTGCTTCAGGCAAGTGTGAATGTTGCAATTGGTCACCTTGATTGGCATTTAATATCCTTGAATTAGCACTGAATCATCCACTTGCCTAGTTTCCAACAGAGCTCACAACTAGGTTCTTGTGGGTTTTTTCAGGCTATAGGGCCATGTTCTAGAGCAGGGGTCTACAAACTTTTTAAACAGAGGGCCAGGTCACAGTCCCTCAAACTGTTGGCGGGCCGAATTATAATTCGAAAAAAACATGAATTAATTCCTATGCACACTGCAAATACCTTATTTGTAGTGCAAAATTTTTTAAAAACAATACAATAATTAAAATTAAGAACAATTTTAACAAATGTAAACTTATTAGTATTTCAATGGAAAGTGTGGGTCTGCTTTTGGCTGATGACATAGGATTATTGTTGTTTTTGTTTGCTTTCAAGTAGTTTCATACAGGTTGACCCAGAGCGAGGGCCGGGTAAATGACCTTGGAGGGCCGCATCCGGCCCCCAGGCCTTAGTTTGAGGACCCCTGTTCTAGAGGCATTTCTCCTGACGTTTCGCCTGCATCTATGGCAAGCATCCTCAGAGGTAGTGAGGTCCTCACTACCTCTGAGGATGCTTGCCATAGATGCAGGCAAAACGTCAGGAGAAATGTCTCTAGAACATGGCCCTATAGCCCGAAAAAACCCACAAGAACCTAGCGATTCCAGCCATGAAAGCCTTCGACAATACATAGAGCTCACAACCTCTGAGGATGCCTGCCATAGATGTGGATGAAACATCAGGAGAGAATGCTTCTGGAATGTGGCCATACAGCCCAGAAAACTCACAGCAAGCCAGTGATTCCAGCCATGAAAGCCTTCGACAACATATTATTATTATTATTATTATTATTATTATTATTTGAAACACCACAAGTTGAGTCCACAGAAGACACTCTGCTGGCTGTTGTATTGCATCACACGTCGGATACCTCCCAAGTGTCTAGGACTGTGTGGTGTATATTATTATTATTATTATTATTATTATTATTATTATTATTATTCGCTTCCCCCATCTTAAAAAGCAAGCATGCTTCTTCACCCTTAGGAGTGCAAAGGGAAGTGACATTTGAGGGCAGGGCCTGAAAAAATGATTTAAGTTATCCAACATTTTTTTTTAAAATCATTTGATGCCGCAATACACATGTATTCTTGGAATAAACAAAACTCTTACTGTTCTCACCCATTTGTTTATATTACAAAAATTATTATATTCTTAATTAAAGTGAAACCCTAAATAGGCAGAGGGAGAAATTAATAATAATAATAATAATAATAATAATAATAATAATAATAATAATAATAAAGTGAAACAACTGGAAAAGCTGATACGATATTAGGATTTAAAAATCGAACTGCAAAGACTCTGGCACAAGCCAGTAAAGGTGGTCCCAGTGGTGATCAGCACACTGGGTGCAGGGCCTAAAGAGTCTGGCCAGCATTTAAACACAATCGGCGCTGACAAGATTACCATCTGCCAGCTGCAGAATAATAATAATAATAATAATACTGAGATCTGCACGCATTATACACCGATACATCACACAGTCCTAGACACTTGGGAAGTGTCCGACATGTGATCCAATACAACAACCAGCAGAGTGATCTTGTCTGCTGTGGACTCATCTTGTTGTGTTTCAAATAACAACAACAACAACAACAACAACAACAATAATAATAATTTTGTATCCCGCCCTATCTCCCCGAAGAGACTCAAGTGGTTTCCAACATATAAGGCAAACATTCAATTGCCGAAAAGAAAAGCATACAGACAATTACATCAAAATAAACACATTTGACAGCATAACACAACCTAGTTTTACTTAAAAAAACAAAATAAAAACTGAAAGCATCATAAAATACCAAAATCCTGTTAAAACACACTAAAAATAAAAAATATTGAAAAGACATTTCGTTGTAGCTCTATTATCATAGATATCTGAACTATGCCTTAACAAAGAGTTTTTAAAAAGTTTAGAATCATAAAGCTTTTAAATATTCTTCCTCTCCCTAACATGTCTGCATATTTTTGAAGACACATCACCAATGCCTTGTCAAAATTCCCCTCTGCAATCTAAAAGTACCATAAATATTCCTGTATAAGTTGAGGGCAGATTTTTGGGGTCAAAATTATGGATCTTGACATAAATCCCATTAACTTGAAATGCCCCAGTACAAGTGATTTCAGCCCAAGTTATGCTGGCTGAAAATGATTGGGACTGTAGCCCAAAGTATCTGGGAAACCTCAAGTTGAGGAAAGTCTGGTCTAACTTCTATTGGAAGCACCACAAAGCAAAAAACATGGAGCTAACAAAATACATTGACAAAGTTAATCATTTCCAAGTCCCATTGCCTTTGAAAGATATTATAAACATATGCATTTTGTGCCTGAATTCAAAAGAGCCTGCACACACTGCTAATATATTCCCAAGGTCCATGACACCAGCAACAATAGACAGCTGACTTACTCTTTCAAAGTATTTATTGCACCCAAAGCCAAACAACAGAAGGTGTCCGTGTGAATCCGTACAGGCAAAATGCTGACCGTCCGGGGAGAATTTGCAATCGAACACAGCACCATGGCCTTGGCCCTCAATCTGTAAAACACATATATTAAAATGGTCTTGTTTCTCCAGATACAGTGTAGCAAACACATGACATTTCTGATGTGGAAATGCTCTAATTCAAGCAAGTTGCAAGTTACTAACTCTTATATAAGAAGCAATAATAGTTTTCCTCTCTCACACATAGAGAATTCATAACTGCCAAAGAACCTGCTTGTGTATTCCATAGCATGCCTTACCATATTGAAGTAATTGCGAATTTTTGTTCCTTTTTCAAGATCCCAAATAAAAATGTTCCCATCGTGGCCTGCAGAAAGCATGATCCTTTGGTCAAAGGGATGAGCTTCCAAAACAAATACTTCATCATCATGCCCCTGAAACAAGTGAAAAGAAAGCAATATTTGAGGCATTTAGGGGTGAACTGACTCTCTCTAGCCCCCTCTCCCATGCACATATGCAAGCTCTCTCTCTTTCTCTCACACATATATGACAAATTCCTTGCTCCAACTAAGATCTTTAGCCAGTGTCTGGGTCAATATGCCTTAGCATATAAAAAAATCCTGGCACAGATAAATCTAGACACAACACAACTTGAAGTTCTATTCCATTATTATTATTATTATTATTAGTCGTGTCAGGAGTGACTTGAGAAACTGCAAGTCACTTCGGGTGTGAGAGAATTGGCCATCTGCAAGGGCGTTGCCCAGGGTACTATGCTAATAATATAATATATTGTATGTATATATTTACTATCCTTGTTTTCAATGTTTTTACTATCCTTGTGGGAGGTTTCTCTCATGTCCCCACATGAGGAGCTGGAGATGGAGGAAGCTCATCCACGCAAACCCCGGATTCAAACCTGCGACCTGTCGGTCTTCAGACCTGCTGGCACAGGGGTTTAACCCACTGCGCCACCGGGGGCTCCTTCTATTCCATTACTCATTGGCTACACGAAAGAGGGGGAAAGCCCAACAAGGAGCAAATGGCTTTCGGTCCCATGATCCACCTCTGTTTGGCCTCTCCTTGAGTCAGTTTACTTGGAGAAGGATGAAGAAGGCAGGAGCCAAGCAGTCACCTCCTGGACTGTTCGATTTGCCAATTACTATGCATAGAATCATAGTCAGAAGATACCACAAGGGCCATCCAGTCCAACCCTCTGCCATACAAGAACACACAAAGCCCTCTCGACAGATGGCTATCTAGCCTCTGCTTGAGACATCTCCATAGAAAAAGATTCCACTGGACTCAGAGGCATCATATTCCACTGCTAACAGCTCATACCATCATAGAATCATAGCTGGAAGAGACCTCATAGGCCATCCAGTCCAAACCCCTGCCAAAAAGCAGGAAAATTGCATTCAAAACACCCCGACAGATGGCCATCTAGCCTCTGTTTAAAAGCTTCCAAAGAAGGACCCTCCACTTCACTCTAGGGCAGAGTGTTTCACTGCTGAATAGCCCCCACAGTCAGGAAGTTCTTCCTCATGTTCAGATGGAATCTCCTTTCTTGTAGTTTGAAGCCATTGTTCCACGTCCTAGTCTCCAGGGCAGCAGAAAACAAGCTTGCTCCCTCCTACCTATGACTTCCTCTCACATATTTATACATGGCTATCATGTCTCCTCTCAGCCTTCTCTTCTTCAGGCTAAACATGCCCAGCTCTTTAAGCCGCTCCTCATAGGGTTTGTTCTCCAGACCCTTGATCATTTTAGTCACCCTCCTCTGGACACATTCCAGAGTGTCAATATCTCTCAATATCTATCTTTCTTATGGTCAGATGATTTTTTTTTCTTGCAATTTGAATCTATTGCTCCACACTGCTGCCCTGGAAACTAGGACGTGGGTGAATCGCTTCAAACTCAGAAAAAAAGGGAGATTCCACCTGAAGATGAGGGAGAACTTCCTGACTGTGACAGCTGTTCAGTAGTAGAACTCCCTACCCCGGAGTGTGGTGGAGGCTCTTTCTTTGGAGGCTTTTAAGCAGAGGCTGGATGGCCATCTGTCGGGGGTGATTTGAATGCGATTTTCCTGCTTCTTGGCAGAATAAGATTGGATTAGATGGCCCACGAGGTCTCTTCCAACTCTAGGATTCTATGATTCTATCCTCCCCAATGAGATATTCTTTCAAATACGTAAACATGGCTCTCATATTCCCTTTAATCAGCCTTCTTTCTCACAAGCTAAATGTACCCAGCTCCACCAGCCATTCCTAATACGGCTTAGCTTCCAAATCTTTGATAATTTCAGTTGCTCTTCTTTTCAACTCAGCATGTCCAAAATGCATGTGAATATTTGCTGGACAGGCCAAACACAGCATTACAAAATGTAGAACTTTTTTAAAGCCAGCTGAATGAACTTCCACTTACGGACAGGCTGTGAAGAAGCTGACCCGTAGAAGAATTCCACACTTTCAAAAGGAAATTGTTAACTGCGGTGATTACAGTGCTGTCATACCGATCCCAAGCAACCATAGTAACCTTGAGCTTTGACACCTTGTCTTCTCCAGATTGTAGGCTGTTCCTGAGAAAATCCAGAAAAAAACACATCTTTTTACTATACCTCTGTTGAAGATACACCTTCCCCACATCTATTGTTCCAATCTAGTTAGTACATCCCTAGGTAATACAGGCAGCAGCTAGAAAAGCAGAAAAATTCTGCTTTAGAAAAGGAAATGGGAAAAAGTCCTACTCCAGCTGCTTTTTTCTCCCTACTTCCAAAAAAAAAAAAAAACCTTCACAAGGAAGCAACTGAATACCAGAAAAAAGGGAACTTTACAAAATACAGTTAGATCTTGAACAAGAAATGAATCTAAACAGTCGTACACCAAACAAATGATCTGTAATTTACCAATAAGAAACATTCCTGCCAGTGGTCCCATTGTGTTTCATGCCTTGCAGAGTTTGCTTACTGGAAGCTGAGCTTGCAATGGACCAAGAGCCGACTCCTAGCATGAGTTGGATTGACAACTAATTCAGGTACAGGATTGCTGTGAGTTTTCCGGCCTGTATGGTCATGTTCCAGTAGCATTCTCTCCTGACATTTCACCCACATCTATGGCAAGCAGTTGTGAGGTCTGTTGGAAATTAGGCAAGTGGGGTTTATATATCGCCTTCGGGCTGAGAATAGCGATATATAAGTAAGGTAAATAAATAAATAAATCTGTGGAATGTCCAGAGTGGGAGAAGGAACTCTCATATGGTGGAGGAAAGTGTGAATGTTGCAATTGGCCAACTTGATTAGCATTAAATGGCCTTGCAGCTTCAAAGCCTGGCTGTTTCCTGCATGGGGGAATCCTTTGTTGTGAGGTGTTTGCTGGCCCAGATCATTTTGTGTCAGGAATTCCTCTGTATTTTCGTATTGCTCTTTATTTACTGATTTTAGAGGGTTTTTTAAAAAAAAATACTGGTAACCAGATTGTGTTCATTTTCATTGTTTCCTCTTTTCTGTTGAAATTGTCCACATGCTTGTGTATTTCAGTGGCCTCTCTGTGTAGCCTGACATGGTGGTTGTGAGAGTGGTCCAGCATTTCTGTCTTCTCAAATAATACGCTGTGTCCAGGTTGGTTCATCAGGTGCTCTGCTATGGCTGACTTCTCTGGTTGGATTAGTTTGCAGTGCCTTTCATTGATGAGTAGGTACACAACCTCACACTATTGCTTAGCCTTAACGTTTTGTCATCAGAGTATACGTCCCCACTCCCTTTGTGGGAAAGCTTGATTCCACAACCCCCGTTTTAATGAGCCCCCTCCACAAATAACCTGCTTCTTCTTTATCTCACCCGAGTTTTTTATCAGTTTTTAATTAGTTTCCTTTTAATTATTACATATAGCCCGCCCATTGTCACTGTGATTGTGTTTATTGTAATTTTATATCGTTATGCATTTATATGTTTTATGTAATTATGATGTTGTTTACTGTTTGCATTTGCGTTTTTGGTTATATTTTGCTGTAATTTGTTGTCTGGGCTTGGCCTCGTGTAAGCCGCCCCGAGTCCCCTTTGAGGAGATGGTGGCAGGGTGTAAATAAAGATTATTATTATTATTATTATTATTATTATTATTATTATTATTGATTAGTGTCTGGTCAATGCTGCGTTTGGTATGTAGACTTCTTGTCCACAGCTGCATGGAAAACAGTAGACTCCTGCAGAGGTGAGAGGATCCCTCTTGTCCTTTGCTGAACATAGATAGATGTGGGTGAAACTTCAGTTGAAAATGCTTCTGGAACCTGGCCATACAGCCCGGAAAACTCACAGCAACCCAGTGATTCCGGCCATGAAAGCCTTCGACAACAAATTCAGTAACTGCCAGGCCATCAAATGCTAATCAAGGTGGTCAGTTGAGACATTCACACCTCACTCCGACAGACAAGAGTTCTTTGTCCCACCCTGGTCATTCCACAGATATATAAACCCTTTTTCCTAGTTCCAACAGATCTCACTACCTCTGAGGATGCTTGCTATAGATGCAGGCGAAACATCAGGAGGGAATGCCTCTAGAACATGGCCATATAGCCCGAAAAATCCTACAGCAACTCAATTCAGTAACAGTTTGGAAAGTAGGCCAGCACTGCTCCCTAGTGGAACGTATGTACTTTGCTTTCACTTCCTAAATGCTGAACAGCAATATCTGTGTGCCACACGTAACATATTGATGTGAATCCACCAGAACGATGGAGGTGAGCACTGGAACGGCGTGGTGTTGCCATGGATACTATTACAAAACATCTGCACAAGTGACAGACATGAGGGTATTTTTCTTTTCCTCAGAGTTTTGAAGTTTGCATGAAAGCCAAAACAGGACAAATAAAGAATTTAGACAATGTTGATAAAATATTTTTTAAATGCCAGCATATATGTATTTGCATGCTGCAGCTGCAGAAACGAATCCTATTGAATTATTTACACCTCTCTATCTGTAAAATGCTAAATTATATATATATGCTTCTCTCTTTTACCCAGTCATCTTTGTAGCCATGTCCAGCACTATGTTCTTCCACTCTTGCTGTTGATATTGCCATACTCTGGCAGTTCCATCTCGGCTTCCGCTGACAAATCTTAATCTACAGTGAAGATTTAAAACAAAAACAAAAAAATTAGGCCTGCAAAGAACATAGGCAGGAAGTAGGTTTTACTTTATTTCTTACAAGAACCCAAGATCCATCAACAAAGAAGTAAAATACCATGGGCTTTTACATATATCCTGCCATTTTTGGAAGATCACTAACACAGGAATCATTTAAGGCCAGTATCATACTTTACTTGATGGTCCAAGTACATTAGACACTTTCTAGGCCAGTATTTGTGGTGAGGAATAGCTGTGATCAGAATTTAATAAATCTATCTATATAAATAAAAATCTAATGTTTGTTTGTGGGATTAACATAACTCAAAAACCACTGGATGAATTGTCGGCAAATTTGGCCACCTACTAACCCAAGGAGTGACCACCACACAAAAAATGTTGATTTTGTCATTTAGGAGTTGTAGTTGCTGGGATTTATAGTTCACCTACAATCAAAGAGCTCTACCAATGATGGAATTGAACCAAACGTGGCACAACAGAAAACACTAGAAGGGTTTGGTGGGCATTGACCTTAAGTTTGGGAGTTGTAGTTCACCTACATCCAGAGAGCACTGTGGACTCAAACAATGATGGATCTGGACCAAACTTGGCCCATACTCAATATGCCCAAATGTGAACACTGGTGGAGTTTGGGGGAAATAGACCTTGACTTTTGGGAGTTGTAGTTACTGGGATGTATAGTTCACCTACAATCAAAGAGCATTCTGAACCCCACAAATGACAGAATTGGGGCAAGCTTCCCACACAGAACCCCCATGACCAACAGAAAATACTTAAAGGCCATCCAGTCCAACTCCCTTCACCAGGGCAAGAAAACGTAATCAGAGCCCTCCTGACAAAGAGCCATCCAGCCATAGATATAGAGATATATGATTCACACACACACAAATATAGTATCATAGATTTGAAAAGAAGGACAATTATATGTTGCATGTTCCAGAGTAGGCAAACCAGACAATCTCCACATCAACACTGACAAAGAAACAGCAAGAAATACTGTTTACCCACAAGCATCAAGAAATTACATATATTAGAAACCAACACTTTATCTTTATTTTATTTTCCAGATCACCAGACTGGGCCACAGCATAATATTTCTTAATATTATGGTCAGATATGGCAAAATACAGATCAGTCAACATATTTTACACTTTCTTAACATCTATTAAATGGCATTGGGTGCACTTCCACCTTATCATCCATGAAGGCAATACCCCCTTTAAAAAAAAGCCTATCTTGAAAAAACTCAGGAGGGAAAACAATAGGTGAAAAAGACAAATAATAATTCAGCAGTTTCTTTGAAATACCACTTAGCTGTTATTCTATAAGAAGATAATAATATGTGAACTGTATCTATGAAACCTAGAGTAGTTGGATTACCCCTATGTATATTCACAGTGAGAAAGGTATTCACAGCAGAAAAAGGAACTCCTCTTTGACAAGCTGCTTCTGTTCAAGAGTTCGGAACCAATGATTTCAGTTCCATGTTTAAAAACTTAAAAATAGAATATGTAAAAATGTCACCATTGCAATATAAGAAGACATAAACAGATGCTTACCTATCTCCATTATTGCAGAACTGAACGGCAACTACTTTGTCCTTTAAATTTAGAAGAAAAAACATTATTCTAGACAATTCATTAAAGACTCCCAATTTATAATGTATTGTCTAGGCGTTCCAAGCTTATTAGGACACAGCTAAGCAAAATGTGGTACTCCAGATGGTGTTGGGCTGCAGCTCTTAGTATTCCTATGCTCTTTGGGGCTGATGGGTATTGTAGTATAGCAATGTCTAGAGCGGGAGTCCTCAAACTTTTTAAACAGAGGGCCAGGTCACAGTCCCTCAAACTGTTGGAGGGCCGGGTTATAATTTGAAAAAACTATGAATGAATTCCTATGCATGGTGCACATATCTTATTTGTAGTGAGAAAAAAACCACGTAAAAACAATACAATAATTAAAATGAAGAACAATGTTAACAAATATAAACTTATTACTATTTCAGTGTGAGCCTGCTTTTGGCTGATGAGATAGGTTTATTGTTGTTGTATGCTTTCAAGTCATTTCAGACTTAGGTTGACCCTGAGCAAGGGCCGGGTAAATGACCTTGGAGGGCCATATCTGGCCCCCCATGTCTTAGTTTGAGAACCCCTGGTCTAGAGGGCTACATATTGTCTATATGTTTCAGCAGCAAGTCTCTTGATTTGTGGGTCAGTATTCCTTTCTCTATGATTGACCCCTGGCTTACATGTGGACCAGTGCAGGGTCAAGGGGGAATTACTGCAAACAATCAGAGGCCAGCATTAAAGAATCAGAGGGTTGTGCCAATAATTTTTTCAAGATCATAAGTTTGCTCAATATAGTTGCCAGAGGTGGGACAGAAATATTGTAAATAATTAAATAAATAAATACAATTTTTAGCTGACATCCCTTTTTTTGATACCAAACATCTTCAAATTAGAAGTCCAAAGTGTTGGCTATATAGTGAGGAGCACAGGAGCACAATATACTCTATCTCAGTGGTTCTCAACCTGTGGATCCCCAGATGTTTTGGCCTTCAACTCCCAGAAATCCAAACAGCTGGTAAACTGGCTGGGATTTCTGGGAGTTGTAGGCCAAAACACCTGGGGACCCACAGGTTGAGAACCACTGCTCTATCTGCTACTCCAAACTTTGGTCTACTCATCACACACTATTCACCTTTGACCTTGTCTACATTGCCATATAATCCAGTTTAAAACTGCATTATATGGTCAACAAACCCCTGTTTTGTTGTTGTTTGTGTAATGTGTTTTATTGGCTTTTGTGATTATTTATTTTATGACTGAATGTTTATTACCTATTTGCTTTGTTTATTATTCCATGTTGTAAGCCGCCCTGAATCCCCACAGAGAAATGGGGCAGGATATAAATAATATAGTGCAATTCAATGCAATTAATGCATATAATGCAGCTCAATGCAGTTACAAAAGGCTTGAGTGGAAAAATCTAAATCTGTGTAGAAGTTTGAATAAGAAAAGAATAAGTTTGAATAAGAAAAGAAATCTGTGCTTTTACCGTATGAGATTCCAGCTCAGCTATTTTTTCTGGAGATTCAGAGCCCAAATAATATATTCTTATAACATGATCAGTGCTCCCTGTTGCAATGAACATACCGCCTGAAAAGGAGAGGGGAAACATAAGCAGCAAGCAACCTTACATTTTTCATTCGCAAAAGCAAACTGTATTATCTTGCATTATCTCAGACATTTAAGCTGTCTAACTGCTTTTGTTTGGGTTGTGAGTTTTCTGGGCTGTATGGCCATCTTCCAGAAGCATTCTCTCCTGATGTTTCACCCACATCTATGGCAGGCATCCTCAGAGGTTGTGAGGTTGACTTTGTTTGTTTTTTCACTTCAATCTTTTTGAAAAACAAGGAGCAATATTTCTCGTGTAGAATTTTTTGTACTGTCTAAGTAACTTCTGTTTATGCAAAATGTTGACGTACCAGAGCTGAAGGATGAACAAGATATTTGAACACCAGGCCGGGACCGCTCAGCAAATTTGACCGGCCGATCCCTGAAATGTAAATATGTAGCATTTTTAATGACGACACTGAATGGTACAAAGGTTATTGTAACCCAATTAGGAACACAATTTATATTTACATGGTAAGTTATTGCTGGAAACTGTAGCAACTCAGATTATGAAAATTGTTACCAACGAAAGTGGAAACAAACTTGCTTCAACGTTTGCAAAAGGGAAAAAAAATATCTCTCAGTTTGTTGCCAGTCATGGCTTCCCCCAAATCAGAAGTCCCTCTTTCCTTCTGAAGATGTAGATTAAAAAAAACCTTCTTTGAAAGGCTGGAAACCCCTCAGAAGCAATATTTTTTGGTACCAAAAAGGACTAAAGCGAGGGATAATACCTGAAGATCTTGGCTATTGAATTACACATATGAGGAGATTAGGGGAGTCTTGTTTGTTAAAAACTAGTTTTGAAAAAGCTTCTGTAGCATGAATAAAAGTACATGCGGATTTTAACTGTTTGCATATTTCCTAGGCGGGTGCAAAGAAATGCCTTCTGTGTATCTGTCTCTTATCTGCTTGTCTATGTTGGAAATAGCAACCTTCTAAAAGGTAAATGTAAAGGTTTTCCCCTGACATTGAACCCAGTCGTGCCAGACTCTGGGGGTTGCTGCTCATCTCCATTTCTAAGCCAAAGAGCCAGTGTTATCCATAAACACCTCCAATGTCATGTGGCTGGCATGACTTCATGGAGCGCTGTTACCTTCCTGCCGGAGTGGAACCTATTGATCTACTCACATTTGTATGTTTTCAAACTGCTAGGTTAGTAGAAGCTGGGGCTAACAGTGGAAGCTCATGCCGCTGTGATCTTTCGGTCAGCAAGTTGAGCAGCTCAGCACTTCAATCTACTGTGCCACCAGAGGCAACCTTCTACATACTAGTTATTGATAGATATATATATATATATATATATATATATATATATATATATATTAGATGGCTTACTATATTGTGTATTGGTATGCAGTTTTCCCTTAACACTATGTTGTCTGAAGTTGTGGGAGAGACTGGAGACCATGTGATCAGATCTGGGACTATTCAGACTGAGACTCCATTTTTAGAAGCCTGCATTGCAGTGGTTCTCAACCTGTGGGTCACCAGATGTTTTGGCCTACAACTCCCAGAAATCCCAACCAGTTTACCAGCTGTTAGGATTTCTGGGAGTTCAAGGCCAAAACATCTGGGGACCCACAGGTTGAGAACCTCTGCATTACTGCCAGTTACCAAAATATGGTTGCATTTCCCCCCAATGTCATTGTACTGTGTTCTTCATCCAAAACACAACACCTCAGGATAAAGGTAGTGGAGCCATTGATGTGCACACTTATCAATTAACAGACTCATCATTATGAAGTTTTGTGAACTGACTCAAGAAAAATAACTGGGCCATTTTGCTCATCACTCAAATCCAGGGGTCCTCAAACATTTTAAACAGAGGGCCAGGTCATAGACTCTCAAACTATTGGAGGGCCGGATTATAATTTGAAAAAAAAATGAATGAATACCTATGAACACTGCACATATGTTATTTGTAGTGCAAAAAACACTTAAAACAATACAACAATTAAAATTAAGAACAATTTTAACGAATATAAACTTATTAGTATTTCAATGGGAAGTGTGGGCCTGCTTTTGGCTGATGAGCTAGGATTGTTGTTGTTGTGTGCTTTCAAGTCGTTTCATACTTAGGTTGACCCTGAGCAAGGGCCGGATAAATGACACTGGAGGGCCGTATCTGGCCCTCAGACCTTAGTTTGAGGACCCCTGCTCTAAGCTGAAGCAATAGTTACAGTACAATATAATTTCCTTACATGGGAAAGGCAGCTAAAGGTAACAAACTACATTATACATACTTAAATTTCATTGTATTCAAGTGCCATTGCCAGAAGCAGATGGTTCCATCAGCACCAGTTGAAGTGAGGTATCGGGTTGTTCCTTTCCTTGCTGGAGAAAACTAAAGATAAGGGGAAAAAAATACTTCAAAGAATCTGTATGAGTGCTTTTAAAATAATTTCAGCTCATTAAAAATAAGCAGCAGCTATTTGGCTGACTCCAACCCACAGTAAATGTAGCCAGCTTCAAAGAAAGGACAATCTTGAGCTGAAAGGCCCGCCTTGATCTTATTGAGGTTTTCTAGACTCATTTCAAACTAGCTTCAGAGCAAGAGATGGAGCTGAGACCACTATAGTAACCTTAGTTGATGCTCTATTGACTGGGAATCAGCAGGGGAAGGTCTATCTGTTGGTGCTTTTGGATCTTTCAGCAGTATTTGATACCATGCTACCATGCTGGAAGGGTTTGGGAATTGAGGCCATGATGCCTCAATGATTCTGATTCTGTGTCTATGTCTCAGGTAAGTTTCATATGCTTCTGCTTGAGGAAAGTACACTGCATGTCGCATACTTCTATCTCCAATGCCCTTTAACATCTACCACACATGAAACTTCTGGGAGAGATCATCCAGAGCTATGGGGCCAATCTCTTTTAGCAGGCCTATCCAAATAGTTTTAAATTTTGAGTTCTAAATTCTGAACTGATTGTTTTAGTGAGCATGCTTTTTAAACTGATGCTATATTCCTTTGATTGATTATGTGTTTTTAATTGGCATTTGTGGTTTTTAACTGCTATGTGTCTTTTTGTTGTTGTATTTTAATCTGCTGTTCCCTGCCTTGATGTATAGGTAGAGGTGGAACACAAAGATATTATTATTAGTAGTAGTAGTAGTACTAGTAGTAATGGTAGCAGTAGTAGCATTTTGCTGTGAAGAGGCAATAATAATAATAATAATAATAATAATAATAATAATAATAATAATGCCTCCTCACAACAGAATACTACTAATCATCATCATATTTTAGTTTTCTACCTATCAGTAGTAGTAGTATTTTGCTGAGAAGAGGCATTAATGACAACAGCAACAACAATTTATTCTCCTCACAATAATATACTACTACTCATAATAACAACAATATCTTTGTTTTCCACCTCAACTTCTTGTTCTTGTTCTTCTTCTTATTATTGGCTGCGAGCAGGCAATAATAATAATAATAATAATAATAATAATAATAATAATATGCCTCCTCACAGCAAAATGCTACTACTACTAATAATAATAATATCTTAGTTTTCTACCTATTATTATTATTAGTAGTAATAGTAGTATTGTGCTGTGATGAGGCACTAATAACAAAAAAACCAATAATAATTATTTTTTTTGTAATTAATGCCTCTTTTCTAAGCAAAATACTACACTACTACTAATAATAATATCTTTATTTTTGCCTCTATCTATTATTATTATTACTATTATTATCATCATTTTGATGTGAGCAGGCAGTAATAATAATAAATGCCTCATCACAGCAAAATATTAATAATAATAATATCTTAGTTTTCCACCTCTATTTATTATTGTTGTTGTTGTTTCTTACGCGCCTCTCCTTGGGGCTAAAGGCAGGTTAAAACATAGCTAAAAACGCATCATCCGCATCATCATCATTTATACCATTTTTTCTCTCTAAAAAGAATCTCAAACCAGCTTATAGGAAAAACAATACAATACAATTTAAAACCTAAAAAAAGTAACACATTGGACAAAATACATCACTTAAGAGACAAACCCTCAAAATATTTGAAATAATATCAACAGGGAAACAGGCCAAAAATAAGTTTTGGATCTCATCTGAACAAGGTCACCACACAACCACTGAGTGTGCTGGCCTTACCTGGATGGAAGTAATGGATGCTGAATGGCCCAGTAGCACCGCAACTGGTGCACAGGTTCGAAGACACCAGACTCGGACCACCTTATCACAGCTGCCGGCAGCAAGGAGGGTGTTTTCATAACTAACAGCCATGTCCGAAATTTCAGCTGAATGTCCTCGGAGCGTTGAAAGCAAACGTCCATTATCAGTAGCCCAGATTTTCACCAGGCAATCATCTGAACCCTAATGTTTCACAAAAAAAAAAAAATCACCAAAAGTATAACAATCAGAAATGCCTCTCTCTTTGTATCCCTATCTTCCAGATAACTATTGGTCTACTGCCTTTAGGTGGGTCTGAATAAAGCTAGATAAGCTGGACCATTGGTCCAGTAGGGCTCCTCTGATGCTCTTAAGTGGATTATGATTATTTTTTAATATAGCTTTCCCCAAAAGGCAACTACCCATTTTCCTGCAAATTAGGCAATAAATCCAAGCATAAAAATCTAAAAACTTTTATTATATCTCTTATTACAACGGAATCCCCGTACCCATAAGATTGGTTCCACCTATCTGCATCCAACAAAATATGTCATCTAGGAATTGTGGAGGTCCTCCAGGTGATTGTCTAGCATGCTTACACTGGAAATGATCACAGAGTTGAGTTGGAGGGTTAAGCAAACTTCTCAAGAGGATGGATGCCTCACTAGGATTTCTCAAGGCCCTCTGGGGCAACTTCAGCAGAAGCTGATAATTTCAATAGGTTGCTATTATCCATGATTTCCTGTTTCTATGCTAAGTTCAGAAGTGTATCCCCCAAGGGATATCCTATGGACTCATGCATAAGTCTAGAAATTTTAGTTAAAAAAATCAACCCCGCAAAACCTGGATTGAATGTAAGTTATATACAAAGTCAACTTATATGAGTACATGAGTATATATGGTAGTTATTTTTAAAAAAACAAAAAAAAAAAACCCGACATAAAACCAAGAGCAGTAGACAATATTCCTTTTGGAAAAGCACAACGTTTAAGAATAGTGTATAAATACTATAAACAAACACTGCATTTTCTTCCTAAATGAAGTATTCATACTAATTATTTTAGGGGTTGTCTGCAAGAACCTTACACTCCTTTTCAAGTCACCCACTATTCTGGAGTATTTCACATTCGTTGAACTCACTGTGAAAATTCTTCTCCCACTGCGATCAAATGCTACACAATATACAGATGACAAATGCCCCAGAATCCTCTTGTGCATCTTAATGTGCTGATAGAAGGATGATGGGAACAAGTGGCTGAAGCGTCCATATCCAGTTGTCTGCCTGGCACAGATTATATTTACTGAAAAGCAGAGAAATACACAAAAAACAAAAGACATAACTCCATTTGTTGTTAGCTCGACTCATGTTTGCTTACTGCAGAAGAACAAATCCGCTGGGCAGGAGAATCATACATCAGGATCAGAATTGGCCCAAAGATATTTTGTTGTCCACATTTCTTTCTTGCACTTTGAATAATGGGACAATTGAAATGAAACTATTGCTGGATCTTATGCAAGTGTAAAGATGAGACAGCAAATAGTTTATCCCCCATCCCACCTCCAAAACAAAAGTTTTGCTATTACCAAGCAGGAGCGAAGATGCCCTCAACAGTTTCAGATTTCTGGATAAACGAGACTGAAACTGTATTTAACAGATACAATTACTTTTCAGTGGGGAAAGAAAGTAAGAAAACCCAAACATGTAAATCTGGTAAATGGATGTTCCCAACTTGTAGATTTTTTTTTCTGTTTCCAACTTTTGGCATTGAATGGCACAAGATGTCCTTACAGGGGAAAATAAACAACACATGTGAGCGTTTAAATGTGTTGTGCAGTTACTCCAAAATGTATGAACTGTTGCTGATACTACTGACAACTTAGTCCAGAAAGTTGATCTTACCCTTAAAACTAGTATTCTTTTTAGGTTGCAAAAAATCTCCAAGTTACATCTGATTAAAAAAAAAAACAGTTCCCAAAATGCTGACACGGGAATGGTACTTAAAGATAATAAGAAAGAATTCCTTACCCACATTGGGTGGTTTTCCATAATTTACAGGTAGTTCTGGAGGCCTGCCTCTGTGCAGCGCTGCAAAGGTTGATCCCTTCCATGGTGTGTGCCTGCAGTCTGTTTGAACAAGACGCAAAAAAATGGTCGAAACAAATCTTGCCTTTTCTTCTGAAACAAATTTGTTCCGAAACAAATCTTGCCTTTTCTTTTCTTGCTAAAATGGTAAACACCAAAAATGTTGTTTTCTTTTCCTATTGCATAACACTACTTATGAATGTTGTTTTTATTCAAAAAACAAGAAAAAACAGAAATCTGTCATGAGAATCAGAGTTGCCTTTCTAAATTTATATTAATATTTTTATACATCAGTGTTTTATATTTTATCAACAGTATTCAGGCCTAGCTGAGAGCAATCTATTTTTCAGATAATAAATTGCCATACACTGTTTCTATTATGTACTGTTAGTTTTTCTAACAAAAGTGACATTTTCAGAAGGTACATTCAGAACCTATGAAAGGCAGACTCAAGATTTTGAAATAAAAAATAAACCTATATGAACAAACTTGTTCAGCACTTACCTTTGGCTGCTCGTAGCAAGGACTGGCGACCCACTCCGAGTAAAGTCTGCACCCCAAGAACACTCTGTGGGATCTCCTTGTCCAATAAGGGTCCGATGCGCTCGCAAATCTTGAGTAAGTAATTCGGGGGGATGTGAGCATTGGCTGCTACCTGTAGTTTAAAAAGAAGACACTGCTTTTCAAATCTTTCCCTAATTTACAGGCAGGGGAGCATCTATTTTTGCCATGCTTAAGGTTTTTGTTGTTGTTGTTGTGCAGTGACAGTTCCTACTTAACTGACTATAAAATAGGGAAAGTGCTGTTAACTCCTGCCTTCCAAGGGAAAGAAAAGTGAGAGCGAACACAGAGTAGTGGTTTAAGTACTGGACTATGACTCTGGAAACCAGAGTTTGAATCCCTGTTCAGCCATAGAAGCCCAATGGGTGACTGCAGGCAAAGTCACACCCTCTCAGCTTCAAAGCAAGGGAAACAAATCTTAAGCGACACACGGGATAACCTCATCTTAGGGTTGCCATAAATCAGAAATTGTTTTGGAGGCACACAACAACAACGCTGAAGAGATCAACATAGGAAAGTAAATTAGGAATACTGAATAGACACTTGTTGATGAAGACATGTGAGCGTCTTTTTGCTTTACACAAAGAAATCTCTTCTACAAGAACAAATGTGAGTTCTCAAAGAAGTTAGATCCAAGCAATTATTCTCATATAATACAACGCTATTCAAAGTGGTGATCCATGGACAGCAGATTCAGTTTAATGCAGCAAAACCGAAGAGACTTGCAGCACGTTAAAGGCTAGTCCATTTTATTTTAACAAAAGGTGTTCACCAGTACTGTTTATTTCATCAGATAGATGAAATTACACTTCTATTGGTATATAGATGGGTAGAGATAGATACACACACATTGTGCTCTTGATATTTGCTGCGGTTTGGTTACAGGACTCTTCTGTCGACGTCAAAATCCATGGGCGCTCAAGTCCCTTTATATACAATGGTGTAATAAAATGGAGTCCCCTATATACTGTAACAAAATCAAGGTCTGCCTTGCCATGGGTGGTTGAGTCTGTGGATACAAAATCCGTGGAATGGAGGAGGGTCTACTCCAGTGGTTCCCAACCTCTGGTCTGTGAACCACCATGGTCCACAAGAACTCAAATATGGTCTGTGGCCTCACCATTACTACATCATGGCAATGAGAGCGACTGGTCTCAGGAAACCCTCTTATAGTGCCAAGGCTTATTAAAAACAGGTTTCTGTGGGCAAGCAGATGACGACTACTGGATGGCATATGTTCTGTATCAGAAACTAGAGCTGATGTGGTCTATTCAATGCAATTTTCTGAATCAGCACCCCAAATAACCAAACTGAATCTAAAGTTGACCAAAAACTGATTTGTAATCCATTTGGTACTAATGTTGGATAGTGGTCCCTGGTTGGGAACCACTAGTCTACACACAGTATGGGATTAAGGGAGTGGGGTCAAATGTTACAGAGTATAGACAGTGATAATGTTCTTAAAGCCAGCCATGAAAGAACCAGCAACTGCAGTGTGACATCCTGCATTGATAAACTTATGCTGGGATGAACTGGTGTAGAATGGCCAAAAGCTTTTATACTTACTTGAGCTACAGGAAATACAGTTGAACCTGGGTGTTAATCACATTTTTTATTTCAACTCTCCTCTGAAAAACTTAAGGCATTTTACAGGGTTCTGACTCCATTTATTTATTATTACAACCCAGGGAGTTGGCATAGACTGAGATAATGCAATGTCTCGCTGAAGTAGGATTTTAAGGAGAGACTAAGTGCAATGTTACTACTTAGAATGGGGAGTTGAGTAGTGATTTTTAACAGAATTTCAAAGCATTTGATTGATTTTGTGGCTAAGACATTTTGAAAGCAGAATTCATAATTTACTAACTGTATACATCAGACATAAGACAAAAACAACGTGGAAGTGATTTTTAATATGTTTTAATCTTATATCTATGTCTTTTAAAATATGTGTTTTAATTGTCTTTTTTTAATCTTTATTTTTAACTATGCTGTACTTTGCCATGAGGAGAAGTAGGTAAAAGTGGTTGTTGATTATTGTGATTCTGGTAATTTGTACTCCACTTTTGCACTCATTACAAATGTCCAAAGCAGCTTACAGCAAAAATGACAACAAGAAATATACAGAAACCTAAAGACAAACTCGTATTAATAAACAAGGAAAAGAAACAAGTAAGAGTAATAGCATTCAATAATCTGATTTATGAGTATCAAGCGCATTTCTCAGAAAGCAGATTTAGTGTATGAAGCTTCATGCTATCTTCCCCAAAGAGCTGACCAGACACCTGCTAAATTCTTATATGATGTTTCCCACCCATTTATGTTGCGTGTAAATTTATAATGCACCAAAACAACAACATGTTTAGAATGTTGATATTTTATATGTTTTTTTAATTGTATGCTCTTTTACGGTTATGAGCAGCTTGAGTCTCAGTCCTGGGAGAAAAGCAGGAAATAATTATCATCCTCATCATCCCTATTATTTCTATGTTCTTTTTGCCTCTGGCACTAAAGAAGTAATGGCCAGGAACACTTCTACTTTGTTGATGCAGATGTCTCTGTAAGTTAGGACTGGAACTCTGATCATGATCCCAGCAGACTATACTAAAATCTGATGAGAGCTGTATGCTAAACACAAAAACAACATCTTTACAACTGTTGCTCAGTCCTAACTCAGATGAGAGGTGTAATACTTCTCAACTTTGTGACAAACAGAAGAGATGAGAACTTCTAGCTTGCTCAATACACAACTGAAGTATGCCGTGGTTCCCAATTTTTGGTCCTCCAGATGTTCTGGACCTCAGATTCCAGAATTCATGGCAATTGGCCAAGCTTGCTGTGGCTCCTGGGAGTTGAAGTCCCAAGTGCCTGGAGGACCAAAAGTTGGGATCCACTGCTCTAGAGCAAGAAGAGAGATGCTTCTCTGGAAAAGTAGTACACCAGGGAGATTAGGAACTCCTCTCCTGACCTTTCAAAGAGACCTTCCGAATTAGATCACAGACCTACTAACCTAATACCTTGTTTCCTACAATTACCGCCAAGAAAATCCACCAACAAGACACTGGGTTTCGTTCACAACCGGTTCCCAGAATAACAACCTTTAAGAGAAGGCTCTGCTCAATTAACAACTAAGCAATTCATATTTACACCTTCCATATGTTACTATAGCTTTTTAAACCCATATAAGCCATTACTGCATCAAATAGCAGAAAATTCCATAGATCACTGCAAAAACACTACAAGTCAAAATGCTTCTGTTTTATGTCTGCTTTTCATCTCTTTCATGCAACTACCACAGATAACAGAAGGATAAATGCAGAATGGGATGGAAAAGGTTAATTTAGTTTTCCATGTGAGAAGAGAAGGTAACAGAAGACATAAGAATAGCCATGGCTTGATCTGATCTACTATCTACTTAACTTTTTTCCACACTGACCAGCCAGGTACAGCAGCAAATTGAATAAGGAGGACACAAGCCCCTTCAAGATGGGACTTTTAGTTCTTTTCTCCAATTACTGCTGCTGCTGTTCTGCATCTTCAAATGATTTCTGACCTTGGAAACCCTCAGGGGGCTTTCTCAGTACGGTTTATTCTGAGGGCAGGGATCTAAAGCTTGGTGTCTAGACCAACCTTTGAAACCACTGGATGGCCTGCAGCAGTGGAGGCTGACTAGCAGCCACTGAGGGCCCCATTCAGTAAACAAATGCCATATTCAAACCAATAGCAATTTAAAACTATTTAGAAAGTTATCAACACAGTGATTACTGCCAGACCTTAAAGCTGCAAGTCAATTCAGTTTTAATAAAGGTGGTCAATTGCAGCATTTACACCTGCCTCAAACAGAAAGTAATTCTTTCTCCCACCCTGGATATTCAACAGATATATAAACCCTACTTATCCTATTTTCCAACAGACCTCACAACCTCTGAGGCTGCCTGCCATAGATGTAGGCAAAACGTCGGGAGAGAATGCTTGGCCATACAGCCCAGAATGCTTGGCCAACATAGCCACACAGCCCAGAAAGCCATCTAACCCAGCCAGAGAGATGATACTGAACAGAGAGTTAGATGGGTTGGGACTGCCAAGCACATCTGCTAAAGACAAGACCATAACCAAATAATGAAACCCTTTTGGTTTGCAAAAACAGCTGCATGCAAAGAGAATGGAGCCAGCACTAACACCTCTGAAATCCAGAAGCTATTTTCTTCAGCTGGAGGACAACGCTTTAGACCAGTGTTTCTCAACCTTCCTAATGCAGCAATCCCTTAATACAGTTGCTCATGTTGTGGGGGCCCCCAACCATAACATTATTTTTGGTGCTACTTCGTAACTGAAATTTTGCTATTGTGATTAATCATAATATAAATATCTGATATGCAGGATGTATTTTTATTCACTGGACCAAATTTGGCACAAATACCTGAAATGCCCACATCTGAATACTGGTGGGGTGGGGGGTTGAATTTGTCATTTGGGAGTTGTAGTTTCTGAGATTTATAGTTCACCTACAATCAAAGAGCATTATGAACCCTACCAGTGATAGAATTGGGCCAAACTTCCCACATAGAGAAAGAGAAAATACTATTTTCTGGTGGTCTTTGGCGACCCCTCTGACATCCCCTCAAGACTCACCCAGGGGTCCCAACCCCCAAGTTGGGAAACGCTGCTTCAAACTCCCCAAGTTAAGAATACGAAACAGTGCCTTTATAGTTCTATGCTTTGCTTCCAAGCCAAAAAGTTAGTCACAGCAGATAATGGGTAAAGAGCCAATGTGATATCATCGTTTGAGTGTTGGACTAGGACAACAATCAAATTCACCCTCAGCAATGTTAATTCCATGGATGTCCTTAAGCAAGTCACACATTCTCAGCCTCAGAAACAAATCTGGCCAAGGAAACCACATTATGAGGTCACATTAGGATTCCTATAGGCAGGAAATGATTAGAAGACACACAATAACTATAACAATGTAGACCTTGGTTTTTGACTACCCGCCCTATGCCTTTTTAATACTGGTAGCTGCCGGATCACATAAGGGTGCCAAGTCTTTATGTGCACAAACACATACACCATGAACTACACAGGTAAACCAAGTTGATTCTGGTTTTAGAAAAATGCAGGACATAAATAAGTATCACAAACATAATAGTATCATTCCCCACCTCTCAAAGTTTCCTCTCCTGTCCACCAGTAATATCATTGTAGCATTATAAAATGTATTGTTGTGTTGTGCATTATAAAATACATTGTAGCATTATAAAATGTATATAGACAAAAATAGTTACACAGATAAATATTGCCAAAATGAAGTTATAATCCATCAAAACTAAAACATTGAAAGTTAACATACACTTTTAGTACCTCCTTAGGCAAATACAAACTTTACACCATGACAACATCACATCTGAAAATGGCACTAATGTATAGAAGGGGGCATGGTCCAGTATTTGTCTATAAAATCTGTACCAGATTAAAAGTGGAAAGGTATTATATTAATCACATTTTCCACCCAGTAGAAAATGTTTGCATTCATATTTCTTCTGTTTCACATTCATACTGTATGTCTGTGCTCTGAACCCATTGACACAATATTCAGTGATAAAATGAACAAGAATACAGCTCTGCTCACCAGTCTCTCTTTCTACTCTGCTTTTTGAAAATTGGGGCTACCACTGTATCACTTCAGAAGTAAAAGCTGGGTGCTTTCAATCTTTAAAACCGAATGACCCACATGCAGAAACAAAATACAATTGTCCATTTAAGGTTGCATTTATGCACACTCTCTAGATCGCATCTTAAGAATTTCTAAATTCTACGAATCCATGTCTGTACCAACAAATTCTGCTATCATCTAGTAAGAACTGGGTCCACAAAGAACAGCCTTTTTCTTCCTTAATGCAGCAAAAAAATCACCCTCTGCTTCAAGTCAAGTCTGTGAAGCAACAGCCAATCAGCAAGCTACTCTCATTTGCAAACATGGAACTCAGGCCCCATAGGTGCCACACCATTGGCCTGAGATAAACTCCTTGTAACTGCCCTCAAATAACCCTCCTTTGGATATACCCACACACACACATATATACCCCTTTGAAACAGACACTTCTTGGAGAAAGAATTCATACAGACAAATAAACTATATTAGGCAACTATCTTTAATTTTCCCACCTGCAAAGAAAGGAAGAGAAGCAGTTCCCCAACTCTGTCCAGTCTTCCTGGGGAGGACTAATTTTAACTCCACTACCACCACCATACAGAAATTGAAAAGCCAATTTTCACTCACCAGATCCTCAAAGCTTCTCCAGTGCTCCTTGCCCTGCCAATCCAGGCGCCGTGGGATCAACTGTGGTCAGGCAGAGGAAGGAAGAGAAGGCGGGTTGTTAGCGATCTTGAGGGCCACCCCTTAGAAGACCCTCCATGGCCCTACACATTCAGGACCCGCCCCTCAATGGGTTCAGAATAAGCTTTCTTATGCAGCAGGAAAATAATTCACTGGTCTGTGATGATCTGTTTTTTTTTTTTTTAATATTGTAGCTGTTCTTACTCTCTTTTGGGGAGCAGAATTTGAAAGAAACAATAAATGTCAGGTTGCACACCGTTTTTTTAGAATGCCGAATTCCTATAAAACCATAACACACTTTTAAAAAAAAGTTTTAATGACCCACAATTTCACATTCCCATATTATGGGGAGTTATTCCGAAGGTGACACGGAAAAGCAGTCCTGGCTGCTAGAAAGAAAGAGCTTTTCTATTGTTTTTTTTCAGGAAATAAACCCTAAGAGATGGTTTTGCCAGCTCATCCCTCTAACCTACAGCATCTGGTGACATCCCACCCAAGTACCAACCAGAGCTGATCCTGCTTAGCTTCCATAATGAGAAGGAATTTAGACCCTTTGGGTGTCAACTGAGGATCCCAGGAGGGTCCCCAATGTGTGATGCACCCCCTTTTACTTCAGGAAGGGCACATGCTCTCAGGGTTCCTTCAACTGCTTGCTTTCGGGAGAAGACCTACTGGGACATCACCATCATTCGCTATTATTAGAATCATAGAGTTGGAAGAGACCACATGGGCCATCCAGTTCAAACTCTTTCTGCCATGCAGGAAAAGCACAATCAAAACACCCTAGACATTCAGCATCTGTTTAAACCCTCCAAGGAAGGAGCTTCCACCAGACTCTGAGGCAGAGAGTTCCACTGCCGAACAGATCTTACAGCCAGGAAGTTCTTCCTAATGTTTAGGTGGAATCTCCTTTCCTGTCATTTGAACCCATTGCTCCGAGTCCTAGTTTTCAGGGCAGAAGAAAAACAACCTTGCTCCCTCTTCTTTATGACATCCTTCCAAATATTTACATATAGTGATCATAGAAGCATAGAGTCATGGAGTTGGAAGAGACCACATGGGACATGAAGTCCAACCCATTCTGCCATGCAGGAAAAGCACAATCAAAACAGACCTAACAGACGGCCATCTGGCATCCAAGAAAGCTTCCAAGAAAGGAGTTTCCACCTTTGAACAGTTCTTACAGTCAGGAAGTTCTTCTTAAAGTTCAGGTGGGATCTCTTTCTCTGTCATTTGAACCTATACCTCCATTGAATCCTAGTCTCCAGGGCAGAAGAAAACAACCCTGCTCCCTCTTTAAAATATTTATATATAGTGATCATAAAGTCATAGAGTTGGAAGAGACCACACGGGCCATCCAGTCCAACCCCTTTCTGCCATGCAGGAAAGACACAATAAAAACACCTCTAACAGATGGCCATCCAGCCTCTGTTTAAAAGCCTCTAAGAGAAGGAGCTTCCACCAGACTCCAAGGCAGAGTTCCACTGATGAATAGCTCTTACAGTAAGGGAGTTCTTCCTCATGTTCAGGTGGGATCTTCTTCCCTGTCATTTGAACCCTTGGCTCCACTGAGTCCTAGTCTCCAGAGCAGCAAAAACAACCCTGCTCCCTTGGATTGCTGTAACAGATGGCCATCCAGCCTCTGTTTAAAAGCCTCCAAGGAAGGACCTGCCAAAAGACTGCAAGGCAGAGAGTTCCACTGCTGAATACCTCTTACAGTCAGAAAGTTCTTCCTAAACTCAATTTTACTAGTTTCCAACAGACCTCACAACCTCTGAGGATGCCTGCCATAGATGCAAGTGAAACGTCGGGAGATAATGCTTCTAGAACATGGCCATACAGCCCGAAAAACCTACAACAACCCAGTGACTCCAGCCATGAAAGCCTTTGACAATACATTCTTCCTAAGGATTAGGTGGGATCTCCTTTGCTGTCATCTGAACCCATGGCTCTGAATCCTAGTCTCCAGGGCAGCAGAAAACAAGCCTGCTCACCCTTCCTTATGATATCCTTCCATGGTGTTGATGCCTCCTCTCAACCTTTTGCAGGCTAAAGATGTCCAGATCTTTAAGCTGGTACTTAAGAGGGATTCATGGTTGGCAGACTTTTGATCCTTTTAGTTGCCATCCTCTGGACAGCTTCCAGCTCAGTCATAGGCAAACTTTGGTCCTCTGACTTCAACTCCCATCATTCCTAATATTGTTAAGATTTGTTGATTTGCTGCATGGGCAAACTTGGCCCTTCCAGGTGTTTTGGACTTCAACTCCCACCATTCCTAATAGCCTTAGGCCCTTTCCTTTCCCCCCTCAGCCGCTTAAGCGACTGAGGGGGAAAAGGAAGGGGCCTGAGGTGGTTATTTATTTATTTCATATACTTGTACCCTGCCCTTCTCACCCCCGACTCAGAGACGCAGCCGGCTCACAGCAAGCACCCTTCGGTGCCATCATAATAAGAATAATCAACAAATTCATTAAAACAAAACATTAAAGAAACAGTTGTTAAAACACGCCAATTAACATCCGTGAATGGGTCAATTCATTGTCACTTCGAAACTGCTTATGTCTTCTTCATACAAGCCGCTATTCAATGGTCAAACGCAAGGTCCCACAGCCAAGCCTTGAGTTTCCTTCTAAAGGACAGGAGGGAGGTGGCCAGTCTGATGTCTTTGGGGAGGTAATTCCACAGACAGGGAGCCACTGTTGAGAAGGCCCTGTCTCTCATCTCCACCAATCGCGTTTGTGACGGCGGTAGGATCGAGAGCAGGGCCTCTCCAGATTTATTTTATTTTATTTACAACATTTTTACCCTGCTCTTCTCACCCCCGCAGGGGGACTCAGAGCGGCTAACAATGGCAATGATTCGATGCCGCAATAATTACAATTATAATAACAAGATAAAAACATACAATACAATAAATTAAAACAACATTAGTTAAACAATCATAAAGGCTTTTCCATTACAACAATCATATGGTCTGATTTAATGTTCAGGAGCCGTTATACCCATTAGCCAAAAGCCTGTTTCCACAACTACATCTTCAGTTTTCTTCTGAAAGAAAGGAGGGAGGGTGCTGATCTGATTTCGCTGGGGAGTGAATTCCACAGGCGGAGGGGGGGGGGGGGGGGGCACCATTGAGAAGGCCCTCGTCCCCACCAGCCATGTTTGCGAAGCTGGCGGGACTGAGAGCAGGGCCTCCCCGGCGGATCTTAGACTATGAGGTGGAACGTAGAGGGATGATCTTAAACTTCATGATGATCCATAGGAGATACGCTCGGATATGTAGTCTGGGCCAGAACCGCTTAGAACCAGCACTTTTGACTTGTGCTCGGTAGCAGATTGGCAACCAGTGGAGCTGGCGTAACAGAGGAGTTGTATGCTCCCTGTATGTTGCTCTGGTGAGCAACCTGGCTGCTGACCGTTGGACTAATTGAAGCTTCTGGACAGTCTCCAAAGGCAGCCCCACATAGAGCGCATTGCAGTAGTCTAATCAGGATTACCCAGCTTACTTGTCCGAATGCATCCACCCCGACGTGTCATCTCGTAATTTAAGATCATCCAGGGAGGCCCTGCTCTCGCTCCCGTCAATTGCGCAAATGCGTCTGGCGGGGACGAGAGACAGGGCCTTCTCGGCGGAGGCCCCTCGCCTATGGAACACACTCCCAAATGAGGTAAGATCTGTTCCCTCCCTCCTGGCTTTCAGAAAGAAATTAAAATCATGGCTTTGGAACCAGGCCTTCGGGTAGTAGATGTTTGTAGAGTTTAAAGGACATGGACTAGAATGACAATACTAGTATATTGAATATAGGAACAGGATTATGAGATTGGATCTTGATTCTACCTATGAGACACTAATGAGATGTTATAGTTATGTTTAACTGATTGTTTATTATATCATTGTTTTTAACTGTTTTTTTAAAACTCTTTTTATGATGTTGAGCATTGAATGTTGCTATTGTTAACCGCTTTGAGTCACCCAAGGGCTAAAACCAGCTGATCCCCAACCCATCCAAAACACAGACATGTGCCTTTCATCTCAAGAACAGACAAGCATCCCGAGCTCTGAAGATCACCTGGGAAGGAATCCCACTGGTGAATTGCAGCGCACCCAAGTACCTGGGAGTCACTCTGGACTGTGCTCTTACCTACAAGAAGCACTGCCTGAACATCAAGCAAAAAGTGGGTGCTAGAAACAATATTATACAAAAGCTGACTGGCACAACCTGGGGATCACAACCAGATACAGTGAAGACATCTGCCCTTGCGCTGTGCTATTATGCTGCTGAGTATGCATGCCCAATGTGGAACACATCTCACCACACTAAAACAGTGGATGTGGCTCTTAATGAGACATGCCACATTATCACGGGATGTCTGCGCCCTACACCACTGGAGAAATTACACTGCTTAGCCGGTATTGCACCACCTGACATCCGCCGGGAAGTAGCAGCCAATAGTGAAAGGACCAAGGCAGAGACATCCCCTGTTTGGGTATCAGCCAGCATGTCAACAACTTAAATCTAGAAATAGTTTTCTAAGATCTACAGACACACTCACTGGAATACCTCAGCAAGCGAGAGTCCAAAAGTGGCAGGCTCAAACCCAGAACCTCAACCAATGGCTGATACCAGATGAGAACACTCCCCCCTGGGCACACAGAGGACTGGGCGACTTGGAAGGCGCTGAACAGACTGCGCTCTGGCACCACGAGATGCAGAGCCAACCTTCAGAAATGGGGCTACAGGGTGGAATCCTCGACATGCGAGTGCGGAGAAGAGCAAACCACTGACCACCTGCTGCAATGCAACCTGAGCCCTGCCACATGCAAAATGGAGGACCTTCTTGCAGCAACACCAGAAGCACTCCAAGTGGCCAGCTACTGGTCAAAGGACATTTAATCAACTACCAAACTCACAATTGTCGTATTTTGTCTGTTTTTTTTTTTTTTTTTTGCTTTGTTCTGTTAGAAATGTAATATAATCGACTGGTTGCACTGGCACAATAAATAAATATACCCAAGGGCTGAGAAAAGCGGTCTATAAATGAAGTAAACAAATAAATAAATAACCAGGATGTAACAAGAGCCTGGACCACTGTGGCCAAGTTAGACTTCCCAAGGTACGGGCGAAGCTGTTAGGAATGGTGGGAGTTGAAGTCCAAAAGCACCTGGAAGGCCCAAGTTTGCCCATGCCTATTCCAGATTGTCAATATCTCTCTTAAACTATGGTATTTATTTATCGTGTCATCAGCAACCATACCATTGTATTACATTTCTAACAGAACAAAACAAACACACAGATTTAAAAAAAAAAAACCAACAGATTTTGCAAACTTGGTAGTTGATTAAATGTCCTTTGACCTGTATCTGGCCACTTGGATTGCCTCTGGTGTTGCCACAAGAAGGTCCTCCATTGTGCATGGGACAGGGTTCAGGTTGCATTGCAGCAGGTGGTCAATGGTTTGTTCTTCTCCCCACTTGCATGTCGAGGATTCCACTTTGTGGCCCCATTTCTTAAGGTTGGCTCTGCATCTCGTGGTGCCAGAGCGCAGTCTGTTCAGCGCCTTCCAAGTCGCCCAGTCTTCTGTGTGCCCAGGGGGGAATCTCTCATCTGGTATCAGCCATGGATTGAGGTTCTGGGTTTTGGCCTGCCACTTTCGGACTCTTGCTTGCTGAGGTGTTCCAGCGAGTGTCTCTGTAGATCGAAGAAAACTATTTCTTGATTTAAGTCGTTGACGTGTTGCCTGATACCCAAACAGGGGGTGAGCTGGAGATGTCTCTGCCTTGGTCCTTTCACTAAGGACTATGTCTCATTAAACTATGGTGATATTATTATTATTGTTGTTGATACTGATGTATCTTCTTACCTGGTACTCCTCCAGCTCCTCCACGAGGACCTGGAAGGGAGGGAAAAGAGGGAGAGAAAGGGCGTGAGGAGAGGCCCCCAAACCCCCACCTGACCCACCCAGGAAGGGCCCCTGGGGCCCCTCTGATGGATCCCCAGCCAGGCTCACCTGGGCGGACTTCTTGCAGGGCCCAGCCTGGAGGAAGCGGGCGACCAGGTAGTAAAGCTCTGAGGAGGAGAAGCAAAAAGGGTTCAAAAGGGGGGCCCAAGGGGAGCCCCCAAAGAGAGGGAGGGATGGGTGGGCAAAGGGAGGGTTCTCACCGGCTTCCAGCTGGGTCGGGGCCGCCGCCATCCTCCTCCCCGTCCAAAGGGAAGAGGAGGAAGGCGCTGAAGGAGGCGGAGGAGGAGGGCAAGGCCCCTCAGGAGCGGCCCTTCCCTGCTGCTGCTTCTCCTCCTCCTTCCATGAAGGGAGCCCCCTCTCCTCAGAGAAGGAGGCCGGCCTGGAGGAGGGCGAGCGAGACAGGGGGGAAGCAGCAGCCCCGGGGAGAAGGTGGCAGGGAGAGGGAGAGACAGAGAGGGAGAGCCTCCGGTCGCGCGGGGGCGATGGCCACAGGCAGACTTCCTCCTCGGCAGCAGAAAGAGGCCACAGGGCGGAAGCGGAAGTGACGACAGAGGCTGCGGCCTAGTTCCGGCGCCGCAGCCTGCGCTCGCTTGACAGCACTCGCTTTGGACTCTATGTTCTTGTTGTTATTATTATTATTATTATTATTATTATTATTATTATTATTATTATTATTTGAACTTATATGCCGCCACTCCCCTGGGGCTCGGAGCGGCTTACAAGAATAGCTAAAATGTAACAAAAATTTAAAAGCAATTTAAAACAATCTAAAAGCAGCAATATCAAACATTAAAAGCGTGTCGCATTGAAATAGGAAGGAAGGAAGGAAGGAAGGAGTTCCACTGGCTGCCATTTATCTTCTGAGCCCAATTTAAGGTGCAGGTGCTTACCTACAAAGCCCTGAACGGTTTGGGACCACCCTACCTGTGTGACCGCATCTCCGTCTACGAACCCACACGCTCGCTCCGGTCATCAGGAGAGGCCCTGCTCGTGATCCCGCTCGCGTCGCAAGCGCGCTTGGTGAGGACGCGAGACAGGGCCTTTTCTGTGGTGGCCCCCCAACTCTGGAACGCCCTCCCAAAAGATCTCAGACAGGCCCCTACACTGGCAGTCTTCAGAAAGAATCTGAAAACCTGTCTGTTCCAATGTGCCTTTTCAGATTAGGAACCCCAGCACCAAATCCTAGAAGCACTTTAGTAGAACCAAGATCACTACACACTGCACACTGCACTTATATTATAATCCTATACTCCTCCCGCCACATCAGCACTTTTAATCCTGTACCCCTACTCCGGCCGGCCCAGTTTTAATAATGTCTTGTTGTACTGTTACTGTTATTGTTTTCCTGCTTAACTGTTTTAATTTGCATAGGTACTGTATTGTTGTATTGTGTTTTTGGGCTTCGGCCTGTGTAAGCCGCATCGAATCCCTTGGGAGATGCTAGCGGGATACAAATAAAGTTATAATAATAATATATAATAATAAGGAGAAGGAGGGAAGGAAGGAGGAGGAAGGAAGAAGGAAGGAAGAGGAGGAAGGAAGGAAGAGGAGGAAGGAAGGAAGGAGGGAAGGAAGGAAGGAGGAGGAAGGAAGAAGGAAGGGAGGAGGGAGGAAGGAAGGGAAGAGGAAGGAAGGACGGAAGAGAAGGAGGGAAGGAAGGAGGAGGAAGGAAGAAGGAAGGAAGAGGAGGAAGGGAGTAGGAAGGAGGAGGAGGAAGGAAGAAGGAAGAGAGGGAAGGAGGAGGAAGGAAGGGAGGAGGAAGTAAGGAAGGAGGAGGAAGGAAGGAGGAAGAAGGAAGGGGAGGAAGGAAAGAAGAAGGAAGAGGAGGAGGAAGGGAGGAGGAGGAAGGAAGGAAGGAAGGAAGGAGGGAGGAGGAAGGAGGGAAGGAAGGAGGAGGAAGGAAAGAAAGGAAGGAATTAAGGAAGGAGAAATTGTGTGAGGAAAAGGAGGCACTGTCATGATTCCATAGACTTGAGATATTACAATTTAAGCAGTGTCAAAATGCTTTAATGGTGAAGGAATAGAATAAAAAATCAAAGTGTTGGAAGACACCTCATGGGCCATCCAGTCCAACCCCATTCTGCCAAGAAGCTGGAATATTGCATTCAAATCACCCCTGTGCCGGCAGGACTGAAGATCGACAGGTCGCAGGTTCAAATCCGGGGAGAGGCGGATGAGCTCCCTCTATCAGCTCCAGCTCCTCATGCGGAAACATGAGAGAAGCCTCCTACAAGGATGAAAAAACATCAAATCACCTGGGCGTCCCCTGGGCAACGTCCTTGCAGACGGCCAATTCTCTCACACCAGAGCGACTTGCAGTTTCTCAAGTCGCCCCTGACACGACCAAAAAGAAAGAAAAACCCTGACAGATGGCCATCCAGCCTGTTTAAAAGCTTCCAAAGAAGGAGCCTCCACCACACTCCGGGGCAGAGAGTTCCACTGCTGAACGGCTCTCACAGTCAAGAAGTTCTTCCTCATGTTCAAATGGAATCTCCTCTCTTGTAGTTTGAAGCCATTGTTCCTAGTCTCCAGGGAAGCAGAAAACAAGATTGCTCCCTCCTCCCTGTGGCTTCCTCACATATTTATACATGGCTATCATATCCCCTCTCAGCCTTCTCTTCTTCAGGCTAAACATGCCCAGCTCCTTAAGCCGCTCCTCATAGGGCTTGTTCTCCAGACCCTTGATCATTTTAGTCGCCCTCCTCTGGACACATTCCAGCTTGTCAATATCTCTCTTGAATTGTGGTGCCCAGAATTGGACACAATATTCCAGGGGTGGTCTAACCAAAGCAGAATAGAGGGGTAGCATGACTTCCCTAGATCTAGACACTATGCTCCTATTGATGCAGGCCAAAATCCCATTGGCTTTTTTGCCGCCACATCACATTGTTGGCTCATGTTTAACTTGTTGTCCACGAGGACTCCAAGATCTTTTTCACACGTACTGCTCTCGAGCCAGGCATTGACCCCCATTCTGTATCTTTGCAGGAAGGAAAGAAGCCCTCATCATTCCATCGCATTGAGCCATTGCAGTTAAAGCAATGTCAAACTGCAAGAAGGGAGAAAGGAAGGGGAAAAGGAGTATGAGGAAAAGGAAAAACTAATTATTCCATGGCACTGAACCATTGGAATTAAAGCAGTGCCAAACTTAGGAAGGAAGGAAGTGTACGAGGAAAAGGAAGTCTCATGATTCCATAGCATTGAGCCATTGCAAGGAAGGATGGAAGGAGAGAGAAAATGTGTATGAAGAAAAGGAGGAACTCTCATGATTCCATAGCATTGAAGCATTGCAATTAAAACAGTGTGAGACTGCATTCATTCTACATGAAGGTAAGAAGGAAAGAAGGAGAGGGAGAAAGTGTATGAGGAAAAGGAACTCTCATGATTCCATAGCATTGAGCCATTGCAGTTAAAGCAGTGTGAGATTGCGTTCATTCTAAAGGAAGGAAGAAGAGGGAGAAAGGTGTAGGAGGAAAAGGAGGAGCTCTCATGATTCCATAGCATTGAGCCATTGCAATTAAAGCAGTGTCGGACTGTATTCATTCTACAGGAAGGGGAGGGAGGGAGGAACTATTCGCCCATGGCTGGGCCAGAGTTTCAAACCCCTGTTTTCTAATAGTAGTTAACAGTGATAAGGGACATAAAAGGACACAAGCATAAACTTGTGATACTGTTGTGTGCATTCAACTCATTCCCGGCCTTATGAAAACTCTAAGGCTTATCTATCCAAACTTTTCCTGTTGGTCACACGCTTTTTAAATGTGCAACAGTAATTCAGTTTTTTAGCAATCCTGAGGTTGTACCCTTACAAGAGATTGGGGTGCATAACAGGGACAAACCTAAACAGAGTTAAATTTCAAGTTCTACATTTTGCTGGGGAAAAATCAGAAGCGTGAATACTAGTTGAATGTATTGTCGAAGGCTTTCATGGCTGGAATCACTAGGTACTTGTGGGTTTTTTCGGGCTATATGGCCATGTTCTAGAGGCATTTTTCCTGACGTTTCGCCTGCATCTATGGCAAGCATCCTCAGAGGTAGTGAGGTCTGTTGGAAGTAGGAAAATGGGTTTATATATCTGTGGAATGACGGGTGGTGCAAAGAGCTCTCTGCTGCAGCTAGGTGTGAATGTTTCAGCTGACCACCTTCATTAGCATTTGAAGGCCTGGCTGAGCCTGGGAAAATGTTTTGTTGAGAGGTGTTAAGATGTGCCTGGTTGTTTGTTTCCTCTCTGCTGTTTTGCTGTTGTAATTTTAGAGTTTTTTTAATACTGGTAGCCAGATTTTGTTCATTTTCATGGTCTCCTCCTTTCTGTTGAAATTGTCCACATGCTTATGGATTTCAATGGCTTTTCTGTGTAGTCTGACATGGTGGTTGTTGGAGTGGTCCAGCATTTCTGTGTTCACAAATAAAATCCTGTGTCCAGGCTGAGTTGTTACTAGTTGAGTAACAACTGTCATGAAAGAAAAGGTTTTAGTAGGTCACAAGCTGAGGATGAGTCAGCTGTGTAGTGTGAGACTCAAGGCGGAGACCTTGTTGACTCAGCAAAGGCACAGAAAGGTGAAGGAAAATACTTCCAATGGTGATGACAGGAGAAGGTTTGCCACCAGTTCTGAAATGCGTGCCATTCAACTCATTTGTAAAGTCCACAGTGGAGGCTAGAAATGGAAATGGAGATAGTTTGGGATGATACAAATCAGACATTTGTTATAGTTATCCTGTCACTACTACTATAATTTTAAACAGCCAGTATATGGAATAAATTTTAATATTTATATTAAGTGCTTATTGTACTTTTAAAGGTTGTATATTATGTGATGCCATGGCCTATGGCTGGTACAATAAACAATTCATTCAACACATGGAGCCAAGGCAGTATGGCAGGGCTGACTTGGAAAACTGGGTGTGGTGTCAAACAGGATGTTGTCCATGCCATTCCTTCTGTTATTATCTGGAACTCAGACATTCAGGAAATGGATGGCATGAAGCTGGCATATTTCTGTTCCTGCTGTTGCTGCCCTTTTTTGCACAAGTGTGAGGGAAGTGGCACAGCTAGCATAATGGATTGATCCATCCTTGAAAGCTAAAGGGTCAGCCCTGGTTAGTACTTGGATGGGAGGCTGCCAATGAATCCCAGGTGTGGTAGGTTATATTTCAGGGGAAGGAACTGTCAAAACCACCTTTGAATATTCTTTACCTAAGAAAACTAAATGCCTAAGTAATCAGGAACTTGAGGATACATATATACACCCTGCAGTATGACGCCAGAAGAGAATCCATATCTGATAAAGACAGCATAGTTTTAGATGACATGAACAGAAGTGTGGTGTCGAGATCAGAAGACAAAGGTACTATTCCATATAGCTTTGTGACTTTTATTTCCTGTGCTGGTCTAAATGATTTGATAGTATTTTACATAAAGTATTTGTCTACTTCTGGTTACCATATCAACAAAATGT